TATTATTAACTCGTTAACTTAGGAGTAAAATATTTTAGCTCCAAATAACTTGTATTACATTTTCTTTTGGCAATGCAGGTTTAGTAAATTTTTGCAAAATTCCATTTCTATGAATATCTGGATTGTGTATGAATGATTTGAATTGTTCTTGGTTTAAGTAGAGAATTGAGGTTCTGCAATCAAAGTTGAGTTAATCTTTAAGGAATTCCTCTCTAGTTGCTTAAGTGTGATAAAAGTCTCTTCTGGGTTTACAACTGATAAAATAAGCACAGACATCATTCTAGCAATCTTTAAGGAAGGCAGTCTCTATATTTGGGATAGTTCTATTTTCAAGTTTTTTGACAAGGATTTCATTGTTATGAGTGAAATACCATGCCTGAATTATTTTATGTATAATAAACTTGAATGACTCCTAATCTGTAGATGAGAGTGTCCGGGAGTTGGAATTCAACCTCGTTTTGCGTGATGGAGTCATTTTATAGCCATAGATAATAATAGAATGTTTCAATAGCTCCTTCTTAAGTACGCATAAATGTTAAAATTAAATTTATGTTTGATTCTGCTGTTCCTGGATTGAAGGCTAAAAGAATTCAGGTATTCATTTGCTGCTTTATGCAATATGCTATGTTACATTCATGTAGATCAACTTGGAGTTTCACAAGTGGTATTTTGGCAAAATAGGATGATCATGAACATGACGATGAAAAAATAGATGATTTCGATAAAAAGTACTTGGGATATATAAATTTTTCGTTCCTTTTTGTTTATGGATCATCAATGCTTTTGTATATTTAGTGATTTACATAGTCTGGGTCAAATTGGAGATAGAATAGGTCCAAAACTATTTATGTTATGCGGAACATTTTCTACAGGAATCATATAATTCATGATAGCTGCCTTGTTGCCAATTGAGAAACATAATCGATGGCTATTGCTTGTTCTTTAAATATTGAATGGTATTTCTTAAGCTCCAGCATGGCCAGGATTGATGGCTATAATGAACAATTGGCAGAGCAAACCAAATAAAGTTATAGTAATGGGGTATTTTGCAGCTTGCACAAACGTTGGTAATATCTTGGGAGACTTGTTTGCTGCTCTCTTAATTGAATAACTAGGCATGAGTGTTATGGCTCCAATTTATGTTTCTGCAATTGGTGTAATAATAATGTCAGTCATCAACATTTATATGATTGAAGCTAGTTCAGCCAAAGAATACATAGCCTAATTTAAAAACCCATTGACAAAATCTTTAGTTTATAAACAGGCTCACGACGAATACATGAGCAGAGCTGCTTCAGTAGTTTCTGTCTCAGAACAATCATTTGTCACAGATCTGAGCCAAACTCTTATGACTGTAGATAGAGACTCTCAAATGAATCCATATGTCCCTCCCAAGCCAAAGAAGAATAAGAAGGATAGCATCAATATGATTTCAGCTTGGAAATTGCCTAATGTTGCTCTGTATGCTTTCGCATTTGGTTGTATAAAGGCTGTTTTCTACATTCTTGCATTCTGGCTGCCTTCATATCTTAAGGGATAAAATCTAGAAGGAGTTGCATGGATCACTTAAATGATTGAATGGGGTACTATTCCAGGGGGCATCTTGATATGGTAATTATATTATCATAATTTTAGTTATGCAGGAGTCCATTGGAATCTAAGGGCTAGTCTTATTGTTCCTTCATTGTGGATTGGAACAGTAGTTATGGTTAGCATAAACTTTTTATCAAAATTGGAACAACCTTACGCTCTCTATTACATTTTAGTGTTTTTGACAGGATTAATGATTGGCGGTGTGTATAATAATGTTTCAGGTGCCATTGTGATTGAACTGAGTAATATGAAAGAATTGAAAGGTATAATTTTAACTTATAATTTAAAGGAAACAAGAAATCTACGGCTACAGTTACTTCAGTTGTCATGGGATATGGTGCTGTGTTTGCAGCAATAAATCAATTGATCGTACCATATTTAGAATCAATACTTTTCCTATACTGCAGTCTCAATGCAATTGTGGCAGGTTGCTTCCTCATTCCCTTAATTATAAACGAATACAAAAGATATAAGGAACAGAAGTTAAAAGTTGCCATAGGCTAATGATATAAATTTAAATGTTAATTAAATTAAAAGGATATTAGTATTCACAATAAATTAATTCTTATCATAATTAGTAAATCTTGTGATTTAACGTTTTCAGTCACAAAGAAATGGATGTATTTGATTAACGAATAATTGAGACTTTATATATATATATAAGCTATTATATCAATCATTCTATCCTTTTATTCTTGTCCTATGATCTGCCTCTCTTATCTAATGAACTCTAAGTTCTTGTTTCTAAAAACATATCAATTTAATGCTTACTTAAAGTGACATTATATTTAGTTTATTCATCTGCGATATTTCGGAATGGAGAATCTAATCCAAAGTAAGTCTTCAGATTTGTCCTATTACTTAATGGGGCTGTAGTCTTTAAAAACAATAGTTCTTCTTGTAGAGCTTTATTTGTTTATTGAAGATTTGCTATCTGCACTTGCAATTGAGTGATCAATGATTTTGATTGTTAGTTTTCATATTATAAATTTGAGTATCCTTAGAAGCTCTCAGATTATTAGAATTATTTAATGCTTTCGTCCTTTTACTTTAGTTATTGTCCACATTATTGTAATTAATTATAATAATCAGTTAATTATTGCTGAATAATTGACATATCTGAGTGTAATTTCTCTTTTTCTAAATTTAAGTTTTGTTTTTCCTTCATTAACATTTATTTCTCCTTTGTATTTAAATCTCTGTTTTTAGTTAATTCACTAGTCAATCGAATTTTATCTTTTTCGAGAATATCTATCTTTTTTTATAAGGATTCAAAGGTCTTTCCTTATGATAAAGAAGAATGATGAGCTTTTTCTTTTAGTAGGACTTCATATTTTTCAATTTCTTTCATGTGCTCCTAATTCTTTTAATTTAATGTTTTAGTTAACTATTCTAATTAAACCAGCCTGTCTTCGAGTAATTTTGTCAATTTGATGTTGCTTTCAGATAATTATTTAATTTTTTGATTCTCATTCATAATTTTGATTCCTGACTTTTCTAAATAATTCTCTTAGTAAGATTACTTAAACTCATAGAATTAATTTTCTTTGTTTTCAACTTTAATCTTCAACATCTCATTTTCATTTTATAGCTAAGTAATTAGATTTGCCTATTTAGTAATTTAATTTTAATATTAAGTAGTTTTGATTGAGAATTCCTTCTTTAAGGTGTTGAATCTCACTTATGTATTTTGTAGTTCTTCTTCGAGAGATTTAATTTATTACTAAGTGACCATCTCACCTGTGATTTCACAACTCTTTCTGCGTCCATTCTTTACTGTCTTTTATCCATTTTAAGACATCCTCTCAAAATCATTTTTAATTAGACTCAATTCTTTCATCAAGGATTCGTTTTATTTATGAAGTTTCTCATTCTCACTCATGAGTCCAACTACATGATTTGAATCCCTCCTTCCTTCTATACTTTACTAAGATGATGTTCTCCTCATCTAACAGTTAATAAAATAATGAAAATTTTAATTATTTATGTGGCATCAATAGCGGTATTCTATTTTGTTGATAAATCGTTGGATCTCCAATTCATTGAATCAGACAAGCTGAATCGACAATGCGAAACCAAACTTGACAATAATAACCAAAGCATATAATGTTGTGGCTACATTTGGGAATCCAATGAAACCATGGTCACATTCTATTTTCGTACAGAAACTCCTCTACAACACATACCTGATATTGTGATTTATTACTAATAATTCCCTACAGAGTAATAACTGAATATAACTGAACTGATAGTGGTTGACACCAATAATTCATTCCCCATAGTCAATGAAAATTAAGCTGGCATTGAGGAATTGAGTAGACATCATTTAAAAGCTTTGCCTTATGAGTTTAAATCGGGCGACTCGGATGGAAATGAAAATTACCTAATGACACCTGAATTAATCAAAGTTTCAGCCTATGTTATTTTTGCCAAGGGTTTAGACATAGAATTAGAGGCTTATTTCAAAAATAATTTAAAATATTTAGAAGATTCCTTTGTTACCTTCTTATGCTTTGTTATTTTGGCATTGGCAATCAAAATGATCAACGAAGATGAGGAGAATCTTCTGCCTTTAGGAAAATACATCAAAGAAAATTAGCATCATATGCTTTTGATTATAATTTTGATCGCTTAACCACTTAGACCCTTGTGTTACTTCTCTGAATTTGAAGCAGTTGAGTGGTTGATCGGATAAACATGCTATGCAATTGGAGAGTTTCTATTTTTAAGATATTTCCTACAAGTTCTCTCCTTCCTAAAAGGCTAGGACAATAACACAAATAAAGGTAGAAATACACTAATTACAATATTTGTCATCATCCCTATTAGCATTGATAGATGGTTAATTGCCTTTGATAACTAGTCATTTGTAATAAAGGACTTAGAAAATCAAGTCGACAACATTCATACAATTATGATTGTGTGTTGGCTATGCTTCTTGGTTTATTCTGGAATATTTGCTTATGAAGTCATGATTAGTTTACATTCAAATTTAATTAGTAAAAGCTAACTTATTATTTGTTAGGACTTGACCTGTTTGTAATTGACATTGTTTTTTTCATTGTCTATTCGTTCTAAAAGAGTTAATTTTACTTGTATTATGAAAGATTTGATCATCACTTGTTCAATCCAATAAATATGTTGATGATGGTTTCTTATATTGCTGTCCTGCTGGTAGTCGACTTAAAGAAAGAGAGCGAAAAGAGCAACGAACTACAACCTATACGACATCGAATCAATTAAGATGAAGAACATGGAGACAATCTTGATTTAACAATTGCTGAATATTACAAAGAGAAACCTAATGATGATCAAGCATTAATTTGATTGAATTCAAAATAAAATTGTATGTATTTATTCAATTTAAAATTACTTGTGTTTTAACTAATTGTCTGAAATAATAAATATATTAATTATGCTGCTTCTAAGCAAAATATCCAGATTATGTTTCATCCCAACATACGGCTGCAAATTTGTACTCAAAAAAGACTGGAAGCTCATAAAGGACAATACCAATTGGGCAGCTTATATGGATGATCTCAATATCAACTCAGAGACCTTTTATCACTCAAGCAGCAAAGACTTACTTAAAGCAGTCAGAGAAAACCCTGATAATGAGTTTTATGCAAAATCAATAGGACAACTTCTTTATCATATGGGAAAGGATGGGGAATACGATGAGATAGTAATTAAAAAGATAGAAAAATGTCTTTACAAATTCAAAGGTGAATTTCCATCCAGATTAGCATTTGGGGCTCTATATGGATTTATATCCCTTTCAATTGATAATCAATACTTACATGATTTCTTTGATGCTGAATTTCGTATGCATCCTAAATCTAAGAAAAAATGGTATGAAGCACTTGAATTAATCGAAGCTTGTGGCAAAAATAAAAATTTGTAAAGAAAATATCTATTTGATTTGATGAGATCCTAATGCCACAATGTTCTTGTTAAAGAGTATAAAAAAAGTCTAAAATATCAACCTGGCTAGTAATTTAGAATATTGAAGGCTTGCATAAGTGCCAAATATTTCGAACCTGACTTGTTTGATCCTGTAGTGAAAGACATAGTTAGATAACAAAAAATATCTAGATTACCAGACTTGATTAAATTGCTAGATATTCTTATCAAACTTCAAACTGAAGGTGATTTCCCAAGATCAATCCAAGCAGAAATCGATCATCTTATTAATAGATTGAAAACTACACCCAAATTTTCTTGGTTATACAATGTAGATGAAAGACGTTATAGAACTATGGAAGAATTAAAAGCAATCAGAGAAAATGCACCTCAATAATTCATAGGAAATCATCTTTATTAACCAGAAATATTAGAATAATATTTGAAATAAAAGGCTTTAGGAAATGATGAAGCAGTTTAAAGAGAAAAGAGATTGATTCAAGAGAAATAATTGGATGATTTATTGTATGATGAATTCATGCTCAATAAGGTGGAATAATAGAGAAATAGAGAACAACTAAAAAAGGAATAGAGAAAAGGTATGAAAGATGAGGATGGTGAAGATGAAGATGCAGAAATTGATAAGGAATTAACAGAAGAGGAAAAGAAGGACTGTAACTTATTAATATATAAAATATCATAGTACTTACTGACTTTTAGAAGAAGCACTTTGAATCTTTAGATATGGATACTGTTAATCCAGATGATCTTCCAAAAGAATGGTTTATGGATAATAGCTAGTCATAAGATAATGAATTTGATGAAATGGATGAAAGAATTCAATAAGCAGCCCAAGAAAAATCCCAATAAGCCAAGAATAAAGAGTTTAAGAAGAGAAAGGGAAGAAGTGGAAAAGGAGATATTTTTGATGCAATAGAGTGAATTTTATCATGTAAAATAAAATAACTAACTTATTATTTTAATTTCATTGAGTACAGCCAAATTCAATAAAACAGATATATGAATATAGGAGATGCAAACTAAGATTGATGCTCTCATGACTAAACTCTAAGCCAAATCATTCAAATGATTTAAGATCTATTAATATTCAAAAACTTAAGAACTATCCAAATAATCGGAAAAATTAACTGGAGCACTATATTTTCAATCAAATCACGATGTAAATTTGGCAATACAGAAAATTAAAAAATAATAACAAAATATCATTTGACATCATAATTTCATATTAAACCAATACATAATTGAATATAATAATACTCTTAATAAAGTCTTAAAAAATTTAAGCAGTATAAGATTTAATAAATATAATCCCTATTTAATTTATTAGATCTAATGACATAGAGTTTATTATCATTAAATATTCGGTACCCTATAAATTATGAAATCAGTCGTTCAATGTTAAATAAACTAAATTAAATTGTATAGAAATTTAAAAATATATGAATCTACACTTAAAAATTTTGTTGTAGCAATAAATAAATATGATTTATAGACCCTATAGCTAACTATTCTCAAATAAATACGGTAAAAAATAAAAACTTAAAAACTTATATATCGAATTTTAAAATAATACAAAGTTGTGAATCAGTGAATCAATTCATTTATAATAATTTTTATAAAGAAATTTTGGTGATAATTTGTTAGGAAAGGCTTCCTTAACTGATTTACTTAATTCAGGAGTCTTAGATTACTTTTTCATTGCTCTTTCTTACTTGATTTAAGAAAATTCTGAAATTAGTTTATCTAGTATGGCTTAATTAGTTTCTTATTTCATAGAAGCTCTGTTCGGAGGAAGTTGTTTTCTATAACATTTAGTAGCTAAGACATTTGGACTTTATAGTTATTCAGCAGGTTCTGTGCGCTATTGCTTAGAGTTGGAATTTTCCATCCATTCCTCAATTGATTCTTCAGTGATTTTAAAGGTTTGGGCAGTTTTTTTTTCTGAATTCTCAAAACTTTTTAAATCCTTACTGTTAGGTTGGCTTTGATTTCTCTTTTCCTTTTCTGCACTTTTAGAAGTTTTTTATTCAGAACTTGATCTAGTGCTTTCATGATTTCTTTTCTTATTTTGATAATCTTTCTCAGTCAATTTGCTAAGTTCTTTTAAAAAAGTATCCAAAGTACTTACTTTTCCTTCATAATGGAGATAGGCAACTTTATTCTCCTGAATATCTTTAAGATATTGTTGTAATTTGAAGAGCTTACTGCTATATCCACCCATAATTTGATTGAATGGGAGAGTACCCATTTAGACAATTTTGTCATAATGATTTTTGATGTCTGTAATGTAGGTTGCCAATTAATGTTCAATCTACTTAGATTACACTTTTAATTAATTGGTAATCTGTACTCCAGACCAAAGTGATTATGATAAGGAACAGAGTAATTTAGATTTGCACTTGGAAGATAGATAGTAGAAATTACCATTTATAATTATTTTTCGATACCTCCAAAAGTCTTAACAACTTGAGTATATTAGTCATTATAAAACTTTTTAAGATTGGCTTCAGTCGATAATAAATTGGAATGAACATTGTCTATTTCACCTTTTGTTTATAATAATTGCTCAATGAATGAATCAGTTTGTTTTTTCTTGATATTGTCTACGAATTATTAAGCGAATTACCTTCTTCTATATTTTCAATTTTATTCCCTTATTAAGCCAATAGAACAGCGCATTTGGTACATAACTTTTCATTAGGTCCTTAAGCATTCAGCAATAGGTATTTAGCCTGAAAATCAAGATAAGATATGTACTTTTTTTTGAGGATGGTGAAGACACATAGACTGGAGACTATTGCAATTGAATTCTTAACTCTCCTTAAATTTTTAGCTAAAAAGATTAGTACTCTAATGAATAGGAGTGTCGATTCCATTCCAAAGTTGTATAGAGGAGATGTATACTTAATCATCTCTTTTCATTTGAATTTTAATTAATATTTGTTATGATTAATCATTTTGGCAATCTCTCAGGATTATCAGCAATGATGTACATCATTGAACTGATAGCAAAGACATTGGAATCCATCTCATCAGGATTTAAGATATTCATTGTATCTCCAGCTGAATGATGATATTTGAAGTAATAATCATCATTAGGATCCTTGTAGATATTTCTCATCAATGGTACTCCTTTATCCCCTAATGGTTTTGTATCAACTCCAGAACTAACATAAACGATTCATATATACCCGTCATTTTCATTGACAACTGACAATTCAGGAATATAGTTCATAATCAATTGTCTGACCATTCTACTTGTTTATAATTTTCCTGAAAAACCAAATCCTATGGCTGTCAATTGACCAACATCATTCTCAAGTGCAACTACATGATCCTCATCACCATGATATTTGGCATAGTGTTGATTTCCATTATTAGGGAGTCCCATTTCTTCACCACTCCAAGCAATCCATCTCAAAGTTCTGAGAGGTCTGATTCCAAGATCAGCGACTACTTTAAGGGCTTCTAGTGTAACTAGAGTTCCTGCTCCATCATCCATAGCTCCAGTTTAACTTCCAGTGTCCCATGAATCAAAATGACCCCCCATCAAAATAATTTAATTGGGATATTATTAACCTTTGATCTCAGCAATGATGTTATGACTTTTAGAAGCCTTCATTTCACTATTTAATTCTAAATCAACTGTAATCTTCTGTCCTCTGTCTTACATTCTTTGAAGCATCTCTGCATCTTCAACTGTGATGGCAGCTGCAGGAATCTTAGGAGTAGTGCCAGAATATCTCACATTTCCTGTATGTGGACTATAGATTGAAAATGAAGCAACACTTCTCAAAAGAACAGCAATAGCTCCATAAGCAGATGCTCTATCAGGTCCTTGTTGTCTATAAAACTTCAAGTCATCATATGTAGTCCATGCAACATTATAACACACAATTTTTCCTATAATAGATTGTATATTGAATTTACCTTTAATTTTGTCGGCTTTACCCTTCTCATCCAATTCACCCCAGTTTCTGACTACGACAACTTCTCCGTCCTTTATATTGCCTGGTACAATTAAGCCGAGTCCTATCATTCCCAATTTTTGAGGTCTTTTCCTTGGACTCTTTAAGATTAATTACTCGCTCCCTCTCACCCATGTTGATATTTCATCCAATTCTTCCAATCTAACCTCCACCAAACCAGTTTTAGTTGCATCCCAACTTTGAATTTAGTTATAAAGATAATCAACAGCTAATGCCATACTTGGTTATGCCCACATTCTAGGACCAAAGGTGTCAACGATGTATGCTAATTTATCATACGCCTTATGCTTGTTAGGCCCACTGTTGATGGCTTGTCTAATATCATCGACATTTTTTTTGATAGCATCATTTGTACAATATGCTATTGTCATGAGAAGAGCAAGAATTAATTTCATTTAAATAATTATTTCACTTGCAATGCTGATATCATGCTTCCTAATTTCGGCTATTCTTCTATGTATTGGCTTTAGAATGAGTTCATTCGAGACCTTATCTTCTGAAGTTGAACTCTGTTTTGACTGTGACTAAGCAGCTTGGAGGGTTGCGGTAACAATTCAACAAAGGACTAATCTTTAAAAAATTAACTATGTTAGTGTATCAATTGAGGAGTCTCGATTTTCTATTTAATTCCTCCATATCCAACAGATTAATGCTTACATGAGGATTCCTTTCTCGATGTGATTTTAATCCTGTTTGGCTTTGGGATTATCAGATCCTATTCTGCTTCAGAATCACTTCCACTATCATATTTTAGTGCCTTGCTCATCTCTCTATTGATATTCAATTCTGGCGAGTCCACTTACTCATTGTAAAGATCAAGTGCTCTCAATATATTTTAAGCAAGAGCATGGTAATCTTCTAAGCCAAAGGCTCTTCCCATTTAACCGTAGATGCTCGTTTCTATTGTCATTGAATTTGCTATATTCAATCTCTTCCATAAAGCCACTCTAGCCGTACCAAATCTATCTGGACTAACACCATATGAACAATCCCTCTATTAAATATTAAGGTACTTTAAATGAGAAAACTTCATTATGATGAGCTAGAATCTTTCCAAACTATCTTATCCTCATATACTCAGATACACTCTTGCCATGTAAACAGCCATAAAGAAATTGGTTGAACTTTTTTGAATGACCATGCAAATCTATCATAAATGCAATGTTAGAATATTTTGATATTGATTTAAGAACATAATGAACCTCAGGCTCTGTTTTTTATTTTGGATTGTCCCATTTTCTACAATTTATATTCATATTATACCTATTTAAGTCTACGCCATTAAAATTACAACGAGAATTCCCCAGAAAAACACCATCTGGATTTACCATTGGATATATAATGAATCTATACTTTTACATACTTTAGTGTCCTTTACATAGTATACGTATGATCTCTTGGCAAATAAAAGATCCAGCTGTTTCACTCGGATGTTGACGAGCCAAAATAACAACTATCTATTGCCCATTCTATTTTGGAGTCTTGATTTACCAAATGGGTAATCCCAATGTTGTAATGCATACTGACTTTCGTTTTAATGGACATTAATCAATGAATCTTTACAGTTTTTTGACTGGATATGGCCGAGTCAATGCAAAAAATACAATTTTTTCACTCTGTTTGAATTCATACGTGAATTCTAATGTGTACAACGAAAAGTTCTATTGAAGTTGAGCTATGCCAGCATCTTCGTGATGGTAGAATGGATGATTAATGTTTGTTCTATAATAGTACATCTCTTAGGTTTAACCAACACTCCATTTTTCGTTATCAAACACATAAACATGATTGCATTCTTTAAAGAGAGTGTTTTATCTACGATTATTTAATATACGTATTTTTAGTTTTCCTTTGTTGTGCATCTTAATTCCAAAGTAAAACCATTAAGTGCAACCTTAAGTATTAGTATCACTGGAAAGTAGAACATTCAATACTCCTTTTTCTTCTTGACAACATCCATGAATATTACTATTCTCAAAAGAACCATATACTACCAGCTCTTCAGATTCAAAAAAAGGCATTGGAGAATGAATGTATTATTGTTATTTGTATTGAGCAAGAATATTTTTACGTGAATTGTGATTTATGATACACGATTTCAATTTCTTTTCAAACAGCTACATAAAATCAATGTATTAATGTCCCATGTCTTTGTTATTTTTGAGTAATTTTTGGAGAGATTTCATTTTATAATATATTTTTATAATACACTCATAATAATCAATATAGATCTGCATGAAGTGCCACCCAACGCTTTATCCATTCCACGCTAGTACTCATCAACCCTTTATTAGGTATTGAATAGAGAATATCAACTACATTAATTTCCATTTAATGAGGATGTTCAATCAAATTGTATTTATAATTCGCTTAAAATTTCTACAATAATCATAGTGTCAAGCAAACCCAAAGCCTAATCTCTCCTATCAGAAAGATTCTAATGATTTTTAATTTCTCCCAAAACCTTCACACATATAAACATCGTTCTTTAGTGGGGATAATATTATTGATTATTTATATTCATCATTTTTATTTGCTCTCTTTTTTCAAATCATTTATACCAAAAGTCCTTATAAATTCTCTAATTTATTAAAAATAATACCTCACCCTGGTTTAAAGATATTTTCGAGATTTCTGTTACTCTAAAGTATTAATTAGAACCTGTGATGATTTCACTTGAAACAGACAGTACATTATAATCCAACTAGTCTTTAGATCTTAAATAAGAAAAATGAAGTCTTAATTATATTTAAAATTAAATCGACTATCAATTAATTTCTCGCAGATCTACTGTTTACTTAGAAATATAAAATCACACTTGAATCTGTAAACAAAATCAAAAAGATTCTCCTCATTTTCAAGATAACCAAATTTTAAAGAATTTTGATTGACTGAACTCTTAAATAATTTATGAGTTCGCTTACAGAATATTTAAATAATTGAAAACTAATTCAATTTTATATTAATACAATACACAATCCTTTTTGATTTGAAGTCCTCTATCTCTATATCTCATATATTATAATTGTTATTTGGAATGTTGCTTAGTTTTCCAATAATCCAAAAGAATTCTTTCCATAAATACATAATTTCTATAAGCTACTTGAATAAAAATCTACAACTTATTGCCTTTTACCATAACCAAGGGCATCTTAATTTCCAATCGTATATCACTAAAGGAGGGATTAGAGGGTGCTCATAAAAATTCTCTCCTACAATAGCACTATAAATACTGATGAACAGCCTTCATTTTTTTTAAATATGTGATTCTTAATAGAAGGATGCTCGAAGAATTAGCAAAATCCATCTAATGCTAAATCTAATTAATTATTAGTAAAAATAAAGACAAAATAAGTATTCTTAGTACAAATAGTTTTTATTGATTTTCTTGTATGAATGATTACTTTTGTATAGGCATTAGCCTTTCCAGAAGACTTTGATATTAGATGTTGATATTTAAATTAGAGATTTGTAGTTCCCGTCAATCACATGAGTTCAAATTATGAGTCAAGACTTAAGCACTACAAATTGAATATCAGCAGATTTCTGAGCCTCCTCCTCTGCAATAGTAAATATAACAATTTATTTGAGAGATTATTAGATGCGTTTGTCAACCTTCGATAATTTGATCATTATTATTTTAATAATGAACGATTGGCAATCAAATTACTCTCAAAGTTTAGCCAGTACTTTTGGCCCTTGGTATCCAAGTTCAGCAAAGAATAAAATGGTCAAAGCTCAACATAACTAAACTCTAGTGCTAGAACCTCTGAGTTAAAAATTTTATACGAGGATCTAAAGCAGGACATCGGTACCAAAAAGAAGAGCCATTTCGGTATAACGTAGATTACCCACTGCTCCTACTATGGATACAACAACAAAAGTATAAAAATAACGAACTCTACCAGAACCAGTCCTTTTGAATTTGACATAAGAACCACTCTATATTAGAAGCAATAAGAATGTAAAGGATATTTTAAAGAAATTGTAATACTATCGATACAATGAACGCAATTTGATATCATGATAATAGTTTCTATTTCAATTCGCGTCCCTTACCTTGCTTTTCTTACTCTTCAGTTATGACCTTCAACTCAGTATACTTATTTCTCTGTCTTGGATAATCACGCAAGGTTCCATGAACATCTTCATCTTCAATCTCAAAATCAAGCATCTCTTCGAATACATCAGTCAAGCCGATCAATGCAATTATATTATTTTATCCTTCAACGATTAAATTTGATATCTACAAATGAGATAAATAGAATTACATTCATTGTATTATATTCTTGTACTTTTTTTCCTTTATCACAGATGAAAGCCAGCGATTTTCGTTCATGTTGGAACAACATAAGCATTTCTAACATGGTAGTATCCTTAGGAACTATCAATGGTTCTTGCATCTATAGCAAAGATGACAAAGGCCTACCATAATCTTAAGCTGTCAATTTCAGAATAGATTTAGCCTGGATTGTCCCGATTATTTAATCTTTGTTTTATCCCTGATAAACTGGAATCTTTGAGAATCCTTTTATTCTGATTTTATTTTTTAAATCTGAACTATATCGTTCCTCTGCATTTATCATGAAGACTTTCTTTATGTCTTTACAATTCTTCATTACTGTTTGCTTTCTCATTTCCATCATAGAATCCAGCAATTACATTTAATCCTTAGTCAATTAAGCATTATTTCCGTGTCCACTATCTTGAGCATGCAAATTCAACAATCCTCTTACATCCTTTATCTTGTATCTTTGATGGAGGTGCACTCCCAAAACATAATCTAGCAACAGACTCAAAGGATAGCAAATTATATATAGTATGGCTTATAATACTTTTACGTAAGGTATCATCTTCATTCCAATTACTAATTAATCTGGGCCTGTAGTAAATGCAGATGGAATTATTTCTCCAAATAACACTATAATCCCTGCAGATATCAGAATTGCTAACCAATCTGGTGCTAATTGATGTAAAATTATTGGCAAGGTTTCACAAGCAAATGCATTTCCAACCAATAAAGTTGATAATAATAAGTGGTGCTGAGAAATAACAGGCAGCAGTATTTAAGCCTAGAATAAATAGATTTATTACCACTTTCTTCTCATATTCTGTTCCACTCTTCTACTTGAGTTCTAAATTCAACATATCTATTGATAGCAATCCTTGAGTATTCCCAGAGCAGAATGCTGCTAAAAGAGACAATCCAATTGCATATAAAAGGAATACCCAAAATGTTCCATCTGACGGGCTATATCTATGATGGTGAGGCTCATTTTCATTTTCAACCTCATCTCCTAATACCATATATGAACTATGCAAAAAGACAACAAGTTTAAATAAATGTAAATATTTCATTATAATTAATTATAATATTTTTAATATGAGTTTTAATTATTTGGCACTAGTATTTAACTTTAGTTCATTTGATAGTTTAGAATTCTATATTGAAATTCGAAAATTGAGAAGAACTTTTATTATCAATTATTTTATTATATATATATTAAATGATCAATAAGTAATAACAATAAAAAAATAATTACTGCAACTATCTTATGTTGTTATAAGATAATATAAAAATAAATCTTATATTTAATAATCTGTATTGATTATTAGTTGAATTTTATCTCACAATAAATACTTATTTTAAGTGACTTATATATAAATAAAATATTCTGTGTTAATTATTATTGATTAAATTAAGTTCCACTTAATTTTACAAATAATATTAAATATTGATTTGAGTTAGAATTAATAATATGGTACTTATATTTGGAAACCGATCAGGAGATAATCAAAGCACTATAAAACTAATAACTTTCTAAGAATCAATCATATAGCAGTATTTACAAATATTTAACTCACTTTAAATAAAACCTTGAATCTTTTGGTAAATTTTATCGATACTTTAATTTGACAGCTTCCTAGGAATTCTTGTTTAAAGCCAATAAAGAATAAAAGGCATTATTCATGTAACTCTTAGATCTTAAAGCGTTCTTAGATTTTTATTATTAGGAAATCTTAATTTAAGCGACCAATCTTTCTGCTAAATCTTTGTTTTTAGAATCATTTTAGCTATCCTTAGATACAGAATTGATATTTGTATTGGTAAGTAATTAAGATATCAAATGTTTTCTTTTAACATTCATCATATATAATCTATAAGGATATTTGACTCCATCCTCAAAAACTAACTCTTTATCAATGAGGAATTAATTGTTTTACACCTTTTTTGGAAGAACTATGCCTGGATCTGTAATTAACCTTTGGGTTGAAATCATAGAATTTTCTAATTCACTATGTTAAGTTTTCACACGTTTTCTTACCATTTATTTAACAATATTTAAATTTTTATTATTGCGTAACGATGAGATTTTTTCTGTGAGTTCATCTGCCAAAATAATGTTCTACTATTTTGTATATTTAGAGGATGGCAATACAAAGTCCCCCAAAATTTCTAAATTTTAGTTCGCAAAACTAGATTCATTTTCATTGTGAATTTTCTAGTTTGGAAATGTAGTTTATTATCTGAGTAATTATGGTAGATTGGGAGAAGGCTATTTGGATGAGTATGACTTATTTAAAGAATGGTTTCTCGTATGATATTGTAGGTGGTTCTAATTTAGATGCTATTTTAATTACATCATATATAAATTAATATAATATAAATCATTTAAAGCAAGGACATAGTATTGTTGTTTAAGATACTTAAGATTTTTATTAATTGCCTATATAGCTATTGAGATGATTAAAGCATTTTTATGACCAAGCTTTGACGTCAAGTTGATGGATTTTATTAGCTTATTCAGAATTAAACTGTAGTGCTTCTAGCACAGTTTCTAAAAATCTTAGCGACGATTAAAATTCTATTTCTAAATGCAATCCCTCTAAAGTCTTGATAAACAAAATTTTTTACTTTAATGTCTTTATTCAAAATATCAGCCATTATATTTGGCAAGTAGCCATAAGTTTATGCAAAATCAGGGGCGTCAAAGTTCATAAGTAGTAAAGTATTTTAAATGACTATAAGACAAGAAATCATGTCCTCAAACATATTGAGAAAATTTTCTAATAAAGTTAGCTTTTCAGATTTAGGTCTCAAACCTTGTATTTAATGAATATAATACTTGCCATATTCTCCATAAATTTCATGTCATTGTATTGGCTATAATAGTCTAGGTATAGCAATTTATTTTTTTCGATAATTTGATAATAGCTTTAATTTGCTTCACTTGGAACTATTGAAAGCGGAGGCTTAGAAACCGTAGATTAATGCATTTTGTAAGTAGATCCGTTGTCATGCTCCAATTAAGGAACGGATTAGTAATTTTAAGTATTGGATGGAAAAATTTTCTTATTGTTTGTTTTCATTTATAAATATAATTATAGTATATATTTTGTTCCTATTATTTATAATAATTTCTGTGTTCATTTTACAAATTTGAAAATTTAATTTCAACACAAAAATCTCTTCTTAAATTCTTCAGAATCAACATCAGTATATCTAATTTTTTGTAATAATTAATCCTGTATTTTGAGGCCATTATATGAAATAATTAATTATTATAATTAAGAACATCCGAAAATGAAAAGAAGATGTTATTTCTAAAAATATGAGAAATTATAAAGCCCAGATGATCTCCTTAACAGGCTAAACAATGAAGCCACAAGACCAAAGTTCATTGATTACATAAAATAAAATGTGAGTAATACAGAAAAATAAAAATTGATCAAACAAAGGGTCTGCAAGTCACAGGATCCATTAAGAAATGTTAAGATGGATAAAACAACATTACTATAAGAATATTAAAAATTCTTAAACCCAGAAAACTTAGCATATGCTAGGATTCAAAAAATTGATGAATCTCAAGAAATTAACAACTCTCTATAATATAAAGTAAATTTTTCTAAGATCCTCACATTTAAATATTAAGTAATAAGTCCATTTTGAGAAGGCTTCGGAATAATTTGAATGAGAATCATTATATTCAATCTCAGCTTTATTATTTTTTAAAAATTTAATTAAGATATAAAAAAGTCAAAAATATTAAAACATGCTTCATTTGAATTCTGATTTTAAAACATGTTGAGTCGATATTGGGTATATGTCTAAAAAAGGACAAGTGAACCCCAACTTTCTAAGATGCTTAATATTCTAAATATTCCATACAGTTTTCAAATGACAAAAATTCAAACTTAATAAATCATTGATCAAAAGAAGGAATTATAACTTTTTATTATCTGTAATTTTGTATCCTCCATATTTTAGCTGTAAAAATTGATTGCAGCTAATTTCTAATTTCATTTTGAATTGTTATTATAAAAATAATAATGAAAAATTCAATCCAGTTTTTGACGATCTCCATTAGTATCAAAAAAAAAAAAATATTTACTTATTAAATCCAATAATTAAACAGTAACTTGAAAAGAAATCCTTTAGAATTATAGTCTTTATTTGACAATTTTCCATTCACAAATTAAAAAATAATTTATATCAAAAATGAAATTATAACTATTCATATTTGTAAGAATCCTACATACTCAAATGAAGTTGAGAAGGATAGAAAGTTGTATTAAATTAACTCATATGAAATTTTTACGTAACTTTCGTATCAAATATCTATTAAATAGCATTAATCAATTAATTGAGATATCATCACGATTTAGAAACCCAGAAAAGATTCAAAGAATTAAAAAATAAAAGAGAAATAAATTTGATAAGTTTTCTCCAAAGAAATCACAATATAATTCAGATAATTACATGTTGAATTAATTATATACATAATTAACAAGTATTATTTCCTTCATAGAAAATAGAATAGAGTAATCAAATTTATCAATAAATGATAATCAGAGTTTAAAGAAATTAATCCATAGATTGAAGAAAATTTTAATACAACCATAAATTTAAGTCAATAGGAAAGAGTTAGTTAAATTATATCAACAAAATTCTTTAAAAAGACTTGGCTTGTAAGAATTATTAATGAGATTCTTATTTTAATATAAATATAATACACAATATATATTAATGACTTTTAAATAATTATTAGTAATCAAATTCTTTTCAGCCATTTCTTTTAATCGTTTTCTTTTTTTTATTGGGTTTGAGCCAATTTATTTTTCTTATCTAGATCATCATTAACATTCTTAAATATTTTAAGCTATTTACTTAATTATTTCCTTTTAAGACATTTCCATCTTATTTTATAGCGTAGATGCTTGTAAGTAATTTTGCTCTTTTAAAATACTCATCGTAGTTTTCCATAAAGAGTTTGCCTGCTTCTTCATTTAGAGAGCTCTCAGGGAACGGAACAATTAATAAGCATTTAATCACTTCAAAAATATTCTTTAACGACCATTAAAGAGGATTCCAATCCTTTTTTAATGTATTAACACATATCTCCCCCTTTTCCGATACATTTGGATGAAATATTTTAGTATTAAACAAACCTAACTAAATATTCTAAATACCTTTTGGTGCTACTTATGGGAACTAAGGTGGCAATATTAATTTACATCTGAAAACTCCTCCTTAAAACGGAGTATCAACTAAAATGTTTTCTATTTTAATTACCTGGACCCTCGATATCTGCTTAAATATCAAAAACATCTTGTTCGTTGAACATCACATGAACGCCTAATACAATATATTTTACATTTTACCATCAATAGGTTATTTAATAATATTTTGCAATTGTTTTGCAATTATTGGTCCCATCTATGGATTAATTTAGGGCTCTTAAATCTATCAAATGAATATCATGATTTTCAATTACCATTCTATTTATTTATAAGTTAACTTTAGAAATTTTATTTTAAATTATTTACTCTAAATCGTTAACTAATGCGCTTAGAATGAATAAATACATCATAGACTTGAATTAAAATGCAATTCAGAATTTTGATTCAAAACAAAAACTCCAATAATCTGATTTGGATGATGATTGAAACTAAATACTTAGATTACTTTTTGTTAAGTTAACAATTAAAATTTTACTAATTTATTGGTAAGAAAAACTAGATAATAATAAATTAATAATTCTTCTATTAAGTTTAAATACTCAAGTTGAAACAAAAACACAAAAAAATATGAACCTTAAATTAGGATATGGACAAGATTCTAGATAAATATTTATCATTTCTTAAGAATAACAATAAAATTGTTATGGAATGCGTCATTGATTTTTAATAGAAGTAGTACAAATCAATTATACAATTTTATTAAAGCTGATTAATAAAGATTTATATTTGTTCAGGAAGTTGATTGATAGTTGATTATAAATTTATAATACATAAAATTAATTAAATAAGAATGAAATACGCACAAGTGCCAGCAACAGCATTTCAGTCTGGAAAATTAATTAAGATTGAACACTATAGCTATAGTGCGAATGATCAGATTGGATCTGGTTTCAGCAGTTCTGTGTATAAAGGGAAGAATGAAAACACTAATGAGACCGTTGCGATAAAAGTATAATATTTTCATCTGATAGACAGATAATAGATAGAAGTAAAATAACGAATGAGGTTGAAGAATTTTTGTTGAATCAGGAAATACGAGCCTTGTCGTTGATGAATTCTGAAAATGTTGTGAAAATGTATGATTATTATCATAAGCCTCAATGCACATACATTATTACTGAATACTGTAATTAGGGTACTGATATTGCTTAAATTCATTAGGTGATTTGGGATAGTTGATAAAGAAGAAACAGAGAATAGATGAAATAGAGGCTATAAAAATAATGAAGCACATTGTAAATGGTTTTAAAGAGCAAGTAGCAAAGGGAGTGATACATAGAGATTTGAAGCCAATAAATATTTTAATACGGAATGGCATTCCGAAAATCGCTGATTATGGATTCTCTAAAATGATGAATGCCCCCCCAGAAACTATCTATTACAATGTAGGTACAGCCCTGTATATGAGTCCATAAACGATGATAAAAAATGTGTATTCAGAGAAAACTGATATATGGAGCTTGGGAGTCATATTTTACGAGATGTTATATGGATAAGTACCATTTTAAGCAGCAAGTGAAAAAGATTTAGCCTAAATAATGCTAAGAACAACCCCAGCATTTCCTTAATAAGTGCCTGTGTCTAGAGAAACAATAGAGTTTATTTTAAAATGTTTATCAATAGATGAAACGAAAAGATTTTGCTGCAGCGATTTAGAACATCATCCTATTTTCTATAGAAGACATACTATGACTGCGCCTAGACCACTGGCAGACAGAAATTCATCAACTTAGAACAGAGATCATAGATCTCCTCAGAGAGCCACGGAATATCAGCCAACAAGAAAAATCAATTTGGTAGCTCAAACTGCAATGCCTCAATCAGCATTGAAGAGTAGAGAAAGTGTTCGATTTATGACTCAAAATGATGAGGTTATCTAGGCTTAATTCCAATTTGTTGAGCTAATGTTCAGGATACTTCGAATATTGGAAAAGTAAGTTGTGATCAATTAAGAACAATAAATCAAACTAAAATTCTTGATTATAAAGAATATGTTTTTTAAGACTATTTTGTTAAGGGAAGTAGTGGAAAAGAAGCGGAACGTATTCTAACTTTATGAATTTGATGTGTATATAGAATCAATTGGTAAATACACAAGCTAAGTAAATTAATTATATTTGATTTCAAAAGAATATCATGACAAATAGGTAATTAATTAAAACTATCTTTAGTATTAAATGATAGAAGGTAATCAATCACTGAAATAATCTTTGCTCAAAGATAGATGTTTCTAAAAAATATATGAAAATTTCAAATCAGTAACAGAGAGCTATGAATTTTATCTCTTATTTAGTACTTTATTGCAGAGATGCATAAGAGATCTGTTCAATAAATGTAATAATAAATTAGCAGGAGTAAGTGATTCTTAGCAATTACAATTGCAAGAGGAAACCATGGTGTATGTTCTAGAATAGCTTACCTTTTATTACAGCTTGTTGAAATTGATAATTGAAAATAACAATAATTTCTAGGTGTTCACTAAGAAAGCATAAATCTATAAAATTTTACAAGCCACTCCAGAACAGATAACGAAGAGCAATCTGATGACCATCAGACAATCAATATAAGAGATGAAAATATGAGAATAATAACTATTTATTAATAAATTATATAAAAAAAGATTTAAAATGATTAGTGGAGCATTCCGAAGATCATTTATAGGCAGAGCTCACTTTGGTCTTGTTTCAGAATATAATAGCAGAGTCAACTAGAAGTTGTATAAGGGAGTACAAGTATCAGAAGCACCACAATTCTTCACTACATCTGCAAGACCAGGAAATTTCGGAGATCATATTGATTTCAAAGTTCAAATGGATAATTGGTTTGATGAAAATAGGTACTTATTGTTTAGACATTTAATTTAGAGTTCATAATGAACATGAGACTGAAATTAAAAGAACATAAATTTATGCATTGAATGCTGTCTATTATGGTGGATTGCTTTCCTTTGCAAGATTGTTTGCAGTTGGACTTATTGGCAGATTAGATGGTTGGAAGAGATATGACAGAGACACATACCTTGAGATGGAGTAATAATTAACATTTAGTGCATAGCATCGGAGATTTACCACCAGGTGAAGTCATGTAAATCGTATGGAATGGTACACCAGTATTCATTAGAAGATTGACTTAACAAGAAATCAAAGATGAAGATAACTTACCAAAAGAAACAATTTTAGATCCAAGGTGAATTCTTAAATTTAATTTTAGTTCTGAAGTTGTTCTTACTAATTGTGGAAACACTAAAGTCTTGGTTGTCAGTGCATTGTGTACTCATTTAGGATGCATTCCAATCCCATATTTAGGTGCTTATAATGTAAATATTGTCCCTTAATAATTAGGGTTGGGTCTGCATTTGTCATGGTTCAGTATATGACAAATATGCAAGAGTGAGACAAGGACCTGCATTGTAAAATTTACCATTCATTAATAATTCAATTTATGATGATGTTATCGTCTGTATCGAAGAAATGAAATTCCCAAGAGAACCAAGTCAAAGATATTGGACTTGAAACAGCAATACATATATATTATATTAAATAACACAACAATCAATATTCAAAAATCAATTAAATTTTAGTTTTAAGACGATGATTATTACTATTATGGTTGCTATTGATTCTGTTGCGGCTATTAAAATTATGCAAAAGCCTATTAATTCACTGTCTGGTTTTAAATATGTTATGGCGCAGGAGCATTAGGTTGTTATGATACCTAAGCAGATTGACTTTAATTATTTTAAGTTTCCCAACTAATTCTTGTTGCTTTGATCAAGATGCGATTATTGAATAACGGAATCTAAGATGTGTCTGTAGGTAAATCAAGCCAGACTGTGTTATGACTTGTTTTATATCTAAATCTGAAGATATATTCTCCTTAAAGAGGAAAACTACTCTTAACATCCTTAAGGGTGACTTGATCAATTGGTTTACCTATTCTTGCTATCAATATAGAAATTACCCGAATGCATTCGGTATTTCGACATCATCGTTGTCTTATGGAACAATGTAGTAGATTAGGGTAAATGATTTCATTTGTTATTATTATTTGTGAATATATATTAATCATTTACTTTCCAAATAATTTTAGTAGCCAAAACTTTTAGCAGCCTTTACGAACCTATTAAAATGCTTTTATAATTTAATTTCATATACACTTACTTCTTGCTTTGATAAATCATCATATTCCTGTTACTGTTTATAAATTACTGTCAATTTTTTACTAAATTTGGTATAATCACAATCTAAGTTACAGGAATATTCTTGTAAACAGGCTGATACTATGTATATCATCTATCTTCCATAATAATATTTTTATAATAGGGCCTTTTTTAATGACCTGACAATATAACTTTTTTTACTACAAAAATTGATTTGAATTTTTGTGCATCCTGTACATTGAAAAGAGGTTTATTATTCCATTTAAGAACTTGCAATTATTATTCCCATAATCCCAAGTACTATGGATTTTTAGACATGTGCAATCTTTATTATTTTGCCAATTCTGTAATTTTATACAAATGATTTCTTTTCTAAATTTGATCGGTTAATCTCCTTTCAAATTTATTCTGTTATTTATCTTTCACCTACATAAAATATATAAATTATTCATTATTGTATTTTTGTAAACTTATTGATTTATAATTGCTGATTCATCAACTTTTCCATAATCAAAATCAAAATATTTATTTCAAATTTTCCCTCAAACTCTTAGGTTGTCACAATTATTTTATTTTAAGAACCTATTGGATTAGTGGTAAACTCATAAATTAGCAACAATAAAAATTAGAGAATTGCTTGGTTTTTTTAGAAATTTATATAATAACATAAAAAATTAATGTTAGTTAATTATATTAACTTATATTCATAGCCTTGTTTGGCTAATATGGCGAATGGACTAAGATCGCGCCAATGATTTTCTCATTTTCCTTCTTTTTAATTTTATTGGTAATTTTGTAGCCTTTTTTAATTTGGTAACAACCTATTCTAAGTTAAATCCAGTATCATAAAACTCCATTTCAGTTTAAGTATCAATATCACACTCTTTGGCAGCCATCAATCTAGAAATTTCTATTTCTATAAATAAAACTTGGTCTATTTCATAAGATTTATTTTATTCTGAAGAGTATGATTATAACTATTATAATTATTATTATTATGATTGTTGTTATTGTTATTAATATTATTATTAGGATTACTGCTAAGTTAATGTCAAAGGAGTTTAGAATAAATTTTGTTCTTCTTCCATTTTTTAACTTTAGTCCATTTTGATTTAATTTATTATAATAGTGCCTCTTTTACCACTTGATTTAATTTTTCTTTCAATAGGAGTTGTATCTCTATCTTGTGATCCAAAATTTCTGTATTAATGGGCTTTCTAGATAGATATTTTAGTTGGTCTTCGTTTTGATCTACTTGATTTTTCCTCTTTATTATTGACATCTGAATCCTTTCTTTTAGAATCTCTTTTAAACAATAATAAATTTTATGAGCGAATCTTTTTATCTGATTCATTTTATGAGATTGACTCACTCGCTTCCTATTCTTCTTAAGCTGAATCTTATTGCATATGGAATCTATTTGAAATAATAAATTCAGAATTAAGTCCTATTTCATTGAGGAATCCTTGAGCTGCACAGAAATTGAAAACCAAGGATTATAGATTTCTCAATGAACCAAAGGTGTTCTATTAATTAATAATTAATTTACATTACATTATGTATTTTCTCATTTCTCCTTTATTTAAAGGTTCTTTTTTGTTTTTCGTCATGATCATTTTTTTTAAATAATCTTAAGCAATTAGGAGTATAAAATACAAAAGGACATCTAGTAAATGTATGATTTTAACGACACAATTCACATCCTCCCATTTTAACTCTTCCATTAAATTCAATCTAATGTTTAACATAATAAAAATGTTCTCGATCTTTTTGATTATATTTTAACAATTCTTGAAGGTCATCGTATGTAATGTAGGCTAATTTAGAAAATTTGACAGCCCTTGTTGAAAACAAAGCGGGATGTTAAGAAATAAACGATTTCTCATCGATAGCTTAATTTCTTTGGTATACTTTAATAATTTTATGGTTACTAATATAAGCCTCGACCTCTCCTTTTAGAATGAAGTAGATTCGGTCTACTTTTTATCTACTAATGATAAATTTCTTACCCTTCAATAGATATGATTTCTTCAGGCACAAAGGTCTATTCCTTAACCAAAATGCATAATTTCTCTATAAATTAATTAGAAAAATTTTATCTAATTAATTTGGAATTTTGCAGCAAATTCTTATAAAAATCTATTTTAACCTCTTTGTTAAGATTTCCTGATAGATGAACCAATAATTTTTCGCATTCTGATTCAGTATCTCTTTCTTATTTTAGGTAATATTCAAAGAACTTCTTAACTTTAACTTATAAATCCTTGTTTAATCCTCTCTTCTTAAGAAAGGAGTCGATCATTGTCATTCTATCTCTGAGATAATTTTTGTTTTCACTCATTTAAGCAAAAATAGATCCAATACTAGAAATCGTGTAACCAAAGATGATTGAACTCAACAATGTAACAAAAATGACAAATACTTTTTCATACTTGGTTACCTCAAAATATGAGATATAAATACTGGAATTATATCTCCATATCCGATTGTTAAGGTTGTGATACATGCCCAGTAAAAACTTGTAAGATATCTAACCTTCCAATTCTCCTCTGATAATTAAGCTCTCTGTATCCATGTGTTGTTTTCGAACTCCGATTCTTGTATGGCAATAAAATGCCAAAAACAAGCTATGATATGGGATGCAAACAAAAAGGTTGACATTAATGATATAATGTCTACTGCAGATGCAAAATTAACTCGAAGATTAAGTGTTTCAACAATATTTTCAAAAATATGCATAACCTAAATACTAACTATTAACTTTTACTCTTGAAACTCTGAATAATAGCACAAATTCTATATATGGAATATTTTATCTACCAATCACAAACGGGATTACAACAATAAAGTCTAGAATAAATTTTCCTTTTAAATAATGTTTAAATATTTATCCTCGATTCAAAACAAGCACTCCTCTTGAATAATATGCCACATTGAAGTTCAACAAAATTTCAAATACAAACACATACTAAGGTAAAGTGTCAAGGAAAAAATCTACACCATCAACCACATTTATATCAAAAGAAATCTTAAGTGGAATATATAATATGTTTATCAAAAGAATTAAAAACACAACAACATCCCATTATAATTTTAGTATATTATCTGGTTTAATCGGCTTAATTATTGAGGAAAAAACTCTCAGGAAACCCATATACATTTTAAATTTTGTTTGCAATGCTTACTAATATAATATTTAATAATAACTACCCATGACCCTTCTTTTTCTCTAGCTCTTATTAATTTATGGGTCAAGTAAAAATTGAAGTCAGCTGCTTTATCTCCAATAACTTTGAATTGCCGATGATCTAGATATCTTAATTTAAATTTATCCGAATTAGTTAATAGGTAAGTCACAAATCGGGCTACAAGAACTATTATATTAAGGGCTCTGTCTTTCCATATCCTGTTTTTAAAGCCTAATTAATTATTAAACTCATCAGATTCCTCTTAAGAAGCAATGCTTTATTCACTTGCATCTCGAGATATCTTTATTTTTTCAAGCATGTTAAATTAGGATTGCTTAGTTTTAAAATTGGATAAAAATTCATCCTCCTCATTATGGAGATTTCTTTTGCTTATCAGTACCATTGAATTTGCAAGATTTGGACTTTATAAAGGGTAGTCATTTTAACCTAGTGGTAACATTAGTTTTTCAATAATAAAATTTGTATTTCTTTTAATTATTCTAAAAGTTTCTCAATACGAAGTAAAAAAAATAATAACTGATATAAAATTCGACTTAAATGATTTACTTAATAAATCAAATTAATATCTATATAAAGAAACAAATAATGATTATCCCATAAGATTGATTAAGATATTTGTGCTAATTAAATTGTCATAATAGACAATTGGATTATTGTATAATGGTGATGGGGAGAAAAAAAAAAATGGACAAGAAATAAAATTCTCCATCAAAAATATATTAAATAAGATTAAATATATATGCAAATATAATTGTAATTAGAATAAATATTACCTGAAACATGAGTTTCTTTGGGCTATGTCAAAAAGGACCTACTTGGATTCAAACAAGGTCTTGAGGGCTACGGCTCAAATATTACCACTATACGTTAGATCCTCTTACTCTTTTTAAAGCTATATAATTTTGAATGTTAGATCTTTTAATCCACATATTAATATGTAGTAATTACAAAAAATAACTAATATTTTATATCATCAAAAATTAAAAAAAAGGACCTACTTGGATTCGAACCAAGGTCTTGAGGGTTAAAGCCTCAGGTACTAACCACTATACGATAGATCCTATAGTTATTTTCTTAGATTTCTAAACCTATTTCAATACATTTTTTCAGCAGGTGATAATTTTAATAGCCATTAAAATTCAATTAAATAAATATAACTTTTTTTTAGAATGATTGGATGATTATAATACTTTAAGACAAACTGAAGTAAGATCATTTTGTATTCATTTTTTAAAAATTTCTAATGAAAAAGGATCTTGACACTAGTCTAGTAGTCTCAAAATCGGGTTTCTATTAATTTGATCTTGGACTCACATCGGTTTTAAGCAAATATTTGAAAGGTGAATTTTTTTACGTGTTATTTGGTGACTAATTACGACTATTATAATATAAAGGCTTGAGAGTCTCTTTTTTTAATAAGCTATCAAATTTATTTTTACTAACAATTATTTTATTATTCCCTTAAGACAAAAAAGGATGGTTTAATGCTTATGTAGCTGTAAATCGAATTTTAGGGTCTATTTCAATTAGTCCTTTTAGAAAGTTTATCCCATTTTTAGAAATTTATGACATTTTTGATAAATCAATATGTCCCAAGTAATTCTTTATTATTATTTCCTTAGTAGTATTAGATTTAAAGGGATCTTTTCCTAACATCAATTAATAGCATAAAATGCCTACACTATAGATATCGACCTTTAATCCATATTTTTATTTTCTCAAGATTTCAGGAGCAACACAACCAGGTGTTCCGCAATATTTGAATAAATAATTATTTTCATTATTCGCTTTTTCAGCTAAACCAAAGTCAATTAAACAAATGGAATCATAGGCATTTATGTTTCTTAGCATTATATTGCATTTTTTGATGTCTCTGTGAAATATGCCAAAACTATGCATATGTTCTAACCCACTTAAAATAGATTTCATAATTATTTTAATTTTATCTTCATCAATTTTTCTATCCTCTATTATGCTCTTAAGATCTCCTCCTACTAATAATTCTGATATTAAAATAATTTATGAATTTGATTCAAACACTCCTAAATACTTAACAATATTTGGATGACTTAATAGTTTTAGATATTAAATTTCAAATAATATAGATTGCTTTATCTAATAGTCTGTTCCAAATTGTGCCTTATCGAATACTTTAATCCCACAGTCTAAGTCATCTATTTTCGATTTAACTTAATAAACCTTAAAACTAAAGATAAATATTACATTAGCAGTAGATCCACTACCAATTAATTTAACAATTTAATAGTTAGAAATGAAGTCTAATGAAATGCATTCTTTCATTAATAAGCTAATCCAATTTTAAATTTGCCCATAAAGCTCAATTTAATTTCCTTATTTCTACAATTATATTCCTATAATTTCAGAATTAGAATTCCTTAAAATTGTTAGAAATGCATTTGCAAACAGAATGAATTTCTAAATATAACAATACTTTTACATTTTTTGAATATCTAATATGTTATTTCCCAATTGAAATAATTTTTTCTTTAATAATTTCCTGTCGTTTCACAGTCACCAAAGAAGCAGATACTGCTGAAAAATTTACATCTGATACCCAAAATTCTGTATCAGTAGATAACACTGAGTTTTGAATATCAAAATTTTAAGGAGATTGCTTATTATTTTAGAGCATAAACTCAAATAATTAACTTTTTTTTATAATTTTAATATAATACTGAGAAATGAGGGGTTAAATTTAATTTTTTAGCAAAAAGCGTGGAATATTATATCTATTATTAAAGGTTTAAATAAATGGAGAAATATTTGTTTATATTAGGCATTAATTAAAAATAATCAATATTTTATTCAAAGTAATAATCAACCAATTCGTACATCAAACATTGGGACTCAAAAATTTTCTTAAGATACTATATCTTGGAGTTTAATTATTGATTTTGTATTCATTCGTCAATCTATTAGAAAGACAGTTTTCAGTTTGAGGACTGTAGGATTGGTTTTATGTAACCTTTATTTCACATGAATCATTTATGTTAGGCAATTTTAAGCTTTTTTAAAGGTAGGAAAGTTAAAGATTATCCTTTTAAGATGGCCTAGGAAGAAATCTAGATTATCTTTTTAAGTCAAAAGTTTATATGTGTAAACCATGGTTCATTTTTGATGATCTTCTTTAAAAATGTAATTTGAACACTTCTAGACTTAAAATATCTTGACATGTTAATGTATCAATTAATAATCTTCCTTTTTCTGTAAACAATAATTCAAAGAATTACTAAAGAGGAGGTAGAAGATTCATAAATTCAATATAGCTAACATTTTAATAATTTTTCATCAATAACTCATCAAGCAATGAGCTTTCTTAATATAGTTTCTTTGTAAAGATGCTGAGAATAATTATGCTTATCGCATAGATGTCTTTTTTTCTAAAAAATGAGATGATAGAAGTTGAATCATGGTGATTGAGATTTCTGCAACTTGATATGTTGGGTTTCAATATTTAGGCTTTCCCAAAGTTAATAATACAAACAGAAGTGAGATCTTATTAATCTCTTAGAAGAATGTTATCAAATTTTATGTCGTGATGAAATATATTCATCTAATGTAAATAATTGAGAGTGCGATACAATGCCTACATTAATATAATTGTTTCTTCTTCCGCGAATCTAAACTTAAAGATTGAATTCTTCAGAGCTCCTCCTTCCAATAATTCTGTAACAATATAAATTTTCTCCTCACTTTCAAATATTTCCTCTAATTTTAACAAATTATTATGATTGATCTATCGAAGAATACTTAATTCGTTAAGTAAATATTGTTTTTCTAAGTTATTACTTCGAGATAACATGTTCTTATCTACTATCTTAACTGCAAACTTTTCACCATTGATGATTTTAAAAGCTTTATAAACCTTTATAATTTTAAATAAATACTGATGAGCTATATCCTTCCCCTATTTTGGATCCCAACTTATACTTCAGCAGAAAATCTGCTTGAATAACATACTTTTTTAAAGATTTCCATAAGTCAACGATTTCCCCAAAAAATTCAGCATATTACCCATTTTTACTTAAGCGAAACCCTAATTATTAAGTTTTAGGATGTAATATTTTTTTGAAGCACACATTTTCAATTTAAATATATTTTTCGCCTTTCTACTTAGATAAAAAGTATACTTCATCTTCTATTTTTATGGCTTAATCGGATGTTGAGATAGACACTGACATTTGTTTATTTTAGTATTTCATTTAGAAGGTTCCAAAATCAGTAAATGGCAACTATTTCGTAAATGTATTGCAGAATAGAAAATTTCCGTCATTAAAGAAAGATGATTTTGAGTAATCAGGTGCTAAAGTTATTGTTTTTTTCATTCAGAATGATTATTTATCTTATTATTTATTCGAATATATCAACATATATGTAATTAAACTTATAAATAGATATTATCAAAGATAATGTTGTTAGAAAATACTATGGGTTGACTTTCCACCATTAATTTGTTGAAATTAATACCGATATTATAAACAAAGAATTCAATTTCTCAAAATTGATCATTGAAACTTCTAATGAAACAACCCAATTAGCAATATCAATCAACCAATTAATGACAACATTAATTATACAGGAATAAGTAAACACTTATTTGATCTTTTGTTAATATAGGTTGATAATCAAACTAAAATTCATTATTTTAACTTAGAATAACGATACCATAAATAAAATTTAGATATATAAATGTTGTTCTGGTTAACAAGATAATTCAATATATTTTTAAATTAGCCTTAGTGATTCAAGAATATTTACCTTGATTCATGCGTAATTCAGCTTATATGGTCCTCTCATACATTAAATCAATTTTCGCTATTTCTTTATTAATACGGTAGCATAAAAATTTTAATTATCAGACTAACTACTGATACAACTTTAATTTGTTATTATATATGTTATTTTAATTTATTACCACAAAAATAATAGCTTAGTTTAAGTGCAAATTTCTAAAATTTACATTTAATATTGTGAATTAGATAGGTAAATTATGCCCCTTCATGATATTAAATGGTTTAAAACTAATTGGAATCTTTGATTATTTTTAGAGTTATGAAATAGAAACAATATATTGTTAGGATTGAAATTATCAATCTCCTTATTTAATTTAACATAAATTATATTTTCAATGTAGAACTTTATTTGCTTAATAAAATCCTACTACCTATTATTCAATATCGTAGGGCCACTTTTTAAGATGATTAATCTTAGAAAAAAGAATATAATCTTCATCTTGCAATATTTCTGCCTACTTCTAAGGTTCCAATGTTTCTTAGGGTTTCTTCGGTTAAAGAGGACAAATTTCATTCTTTTCATCTTAACTTTTTTCTACTGATTTTATAGCCACTTTTTAGGGACTCACAAATTCATCAAAGACTAAAAAATAATATATCAATGAATGTACATTTTAGCTTGATTCCTACTTAATGACTTTGCCGTATTTCTTGTTTAGATTGCATAGATTGAACAATAAATTGTAATCGAGAGATTTCATACAATATATTTGTAAGGGTTAATTTCTCTTTAGTAAGATCTTTTAATTGATCATAGAATTTGATGAATTGTGTTTTATCTTCTATAGTTTTTCCATTCTTTTCTATATTATTGATTTAGCCTAAAATATTTTTTTCAATCCTAATTTGTTTAAATTCAGGAAAGTAGTAGCTAATTATAGTGAAAAGAAGATTGTCCTCTTGCATCTTAAAGTTGATTTTGATTACTATTATTTTCAAAATCATCAATGTGGACATGATTGAACCAACATCAGCTAAGATTTCTCCCAATTTGGGGTATATTATCAATTGGTTTTCGCCTAAACTATCAATGCTTATGAGAAAGGTTGCTAGATATTCATTGCCAAACACTCTTTTAAAATTGTTTTGAGGCAATTATTATGAGGTAGTCTAGAAGTCACTAATATATTTAGACTTTTTGATTGATTCTAAAAAGAACCCTGTGTCAGTTGATGACTCAGTTATTTAAAATAATAATTGGGTGTATAACACTGTTATTTCATCTAATATAAAATAAATTTGTTTTGTAATCATTTCAAATTCTTTTTTTTTTGTATTGAATTATCTCATTTAGATCGTTATGAAAAACGTATTTAAGGGTTGTTTAAAAAAGGCATCTTACTTTTCTTAGCTGGCGCAATTACTGAATTCTGTGCTATTGCATCTTTCGAATAATATCATTAATTATCTCTAATATTTAGGTGTTTGATCACTAATTCCTTTTTGATTAAGGATTAAAGTTAGATTCTAAGGTACAACCGATGATGAAATTCCCTCTCTTGCAGGAGACACAGCTGAATCCAAAAAAGATTATTTCTATGAGATTACAATATCATCAATATATGAAAAATACGGAGTGATTATATTCTCAGTTTTCGAAAATGGATCGATATTTTAATTTTCGCTCATTCCGGCTATTTAAAACATTATTGGGTCATAATCAAATTCTACTTCAGCATAACTTTAAGAGGATCTTTAAGAAGAAACTCTTGGAAGAATATCTCCATTTAGCCATAGAAAAATCTTATAGATGAAATAGGCAAAACTTAATGTGTATAAGAGCAAGGAAGTCATTCCTCCAATGACGCTTTTATATTCCTTCTCATCTTTGACAATTTCCTATTGATATGTAACTCCAAATTAATCAATGTTTTTTAATAAATGCATTACGTAAAATATTTATTAAATTCAATACTCAGTAATAATTTATTATAATTACCAACTTATATTACTGCTAAATTTATGATATGTTGATTTCTTGATAAATACATCATCAAAAAATTATTTAAATTTTAGAGTCACATAAGTTGATTTTAAATCAAATAAGGACATTTATTATTTTCAGAATGATTATTATTCAAAGATTTACCAATTGAATTTAGATAAAATCTAAGAAATTAAGAATTTATTAAATAAAGTTATGATTAAATTGATAGTCACAGTAAGCCATTTGATCTAATTTTTTGTTCACTCTTGGTTTATGTATCAATAAATGTTGGCATTCAATCCTGGAATTTTAGATGAAGCTTTGTGGAATCAAGTGAAATACTTGACTAATTTTTCGAATTGGGCTATGTTTACTTATTTAATACCTTTTGTGATATACGATCTCAAAAACTATAATGCTAAGAAAATTCAAGATAGATATCCATAAATTGTGAATTTACTGTTTCAAGGACTTAATCCTATTTTATTTTTAGTGATGGCAAGTTATTAGAGTTTTATCATAATTGATCCTAAACTTTTGGTTTTGGATGGGTTTTATCCAACCGAATGGTAAATGGTATTGCTTGCATATTTGCATCTCGGAAACTGGCTATTGATGTAAGATAATAATGATATTTATTTTTAGGTAAATAGAGTATATCCTATATGAACATTAACAAGTTCCAAAATTAAAATTGTTTGTATTCTTTTTCGCATACACTATCATTTATTTTATAATATATGGTAAATCAAAATAATAATGCATAGGCTGTTATTTCTAAGTAAAAGGAAAGCATGTATATGGTTTCCAAAAAAGATTAAGTCTTCCCATAATTGTCGTGTTAAATATATTCTAATTTTCTATATTATTCTTTGTCGACTTTGTATATGGAAAAGTGACCAGATCAAGTGTGTTCAAGAAATTAGTATTGGAGAATCGTTTTTAGAAAAATTAGATTGAGGGGGATCAAAAGAAGAAATAATGAATAGTATATTATAATTATATATTGATAAATATTGTAATGAAATAGTTTACTTAAAAAGAGTTGGACACCATCTAAAAGAGGTTCTCCGCAATGTCAAATAATGGTTCAGTTAACTACAAATAATTTTAAAACACTATGGGTATTTTGGGTTTAGATCATGCAACATTTTTACTCGACAGAATTTTCAATGTAATTAGCGAAGGAAAAAAAGTATTCACCTTGAATCAATACATTAATTATTTACAACTAGTGATGTTTGGAAATGAGTAATAAAAGGCTCAATTAAGCTTCGCCTTCATTGATTTATAAAGAAAAGGGTATATTGAATATAAAGAATTTCAATAGATGTTATTGGATTTAACAATGTTTTGGAATCAAATAACAGGCTCAAGAGTAACTCCGAGGTAATCATATATTGGAAATTTGTGGGATTAATTTGAGTGTGAAAGGTTGGACTTTCCGCAATTTTATCAAAAGTACTAAATAATACAGGAAAGTATTGATTGGTACGAGTACTTTAATGAAACAGAAATTCTATTGCAGAGTTGTCCATAGGCAAACAAAGCGTTTATCCTTTAGAATATGATTGATCAATTGTAGAATGAAATAAGAAATTGTGTTAATTTGCTATCAGATTACGAGAGAAATAAAAAGCAGATCATAGATGAAAGTTTTGTTTATGGTCCATGCAACTTTAGTACTAGTTAAATAGCTAAGAATGGGGACGATGATCCTAGTTTTGAGATTAGTTTTTTGTCTAATATTCAAACTAATTCTTTTAGTTTGACTAATTCATCAGATCACCCTTTAGATCAAGTATTAAATAGATTGGAATATTTATAATAAATGATCGAACAGGCAATTAATTTGCCTTAAGTTGTACAACCATACTATTTTAAAAGTCCTGCTAGACTTAGCACTTAAAGAAAAAAGAATACAATAATGAATATGCCAAAAAGAAAGGCCAAATAAAAATTGTCTGTCTATTTTGGACATGAGAATTGGAATTTGATATTAAATTTAATGATAGGGATGAAATAAGCATTATCAAATATCCAGCCTGAATTTTATGGTAAAAATGCGTTGTAACATGAATTTGCGGAGAGATACGTTTATGATATATTATAGAACAGAAGTAGCAATTTCGATTTCAGAAAGGCCTATTAGTTTAAAGATTATGCACCTTCAATTTTCTTGAGAATCAGACGATAGTATAAATAATTGTTATATAGATTTTAGATAAGCAATAAAGACTTTTAGAGATCTGTAGGTCCTGAAAATCTGATTGGCAATTTGGTGTTTGGCAAATTGGATTCTTTAACAGAGTTAGGATCAACTGGTAGAAGTGGGAGTTTTTTCTATTATACATAGGATTGTAATGTTGTGTATCTATTAATTAGGTCAGTATATGATTAAGACAATTTCAGAAAACGAAGCTAGATTACTAAGAAAAATACTTCCAAGATATTTTAAGTATGTCTAAACCCATCCTTACACTCTTTTGAGTAGGATTTTCGGATTGCATCAACTAAAGATATTTAAAAGCAAAACTGAATTCACTAAAATTTATTTAGTTACAATAGTCAATATATTTCGATCGGGCTTAGATATTGATGTTCGTTATGATATCAAAGGTATTATTACAATTCAATTAAAAGGATCTCTTTATGGTAGACAGACGTCAACAAATCCTAATGAAATGGTTTAAGACAATACAATAGCTTTAAAGGATTTAGATCTCTTATAAAAAAAGGATTGCTTAAATTTAGAACCACAAGATTAACAGTTACTGCTCAAAACAATAATAGAGGATTGTTCATTTTTGAAAGATAATGACATCATAGATTACAGTCTATTGGTTGGATTTCATAAAAGAGATATCAGTACAAGATTTTTAAATTTCAGATAGGTCGAGCTTATATGGTTAGTAGGTTTAGAACAATTCGCATCCATTTGAAAGTTTTGAGGGAGGAATATTATCAATGGATAAATAATGGATATATTTTGTTGGCATAATAGATATTCTAACACTGTTTAAGTGATATTTCGCGTTTATTCTTTTAGTACTAAGAAATACTTAGAGTATGGTTTTAAATCAACACTTGTATCCAATGACATTTCATGTGTTCCTCCAGCTCGTTATGCCGAGAGGTTTGCTAATTTTATTGCAACCAATTTAATTTTGTAAAAAAGCAAATGATTTAAATGATGTAAAATGTATTATAACTAAAAAAGAAATAATAGTCAATTTTCAAAATTATGCATTTCTAATTGTTATCTTATATTTGATTTTGAGAGTACTTAATCATTAGTGGTTGCTGCATAAACATCATATGCTATTCCCTGAAATTAAGTTAATTTTTACTTTGAATTCTTTATATGCTTGAAAAGTGAAGTAAACTGAAACTATGTAAAATGTCATTGAGATTGCTTAGAGCAGAAACTAATTCCTGCCATCATTTGACAACTATTCAAGGTTGACTTTGTTTTGGATGTCAGTCAAAAAATTAACCACAATCAGAAAAGTATTCATCAGACAAAAGAATATGTAAATAACGCAATTGCAATAATTTAATTAAGCCTAAGCACACCTAGTCTCACATTTCAATAATACCATAAGATAAAGGCTGATGTGAATTCTGCCACACCTGCCCACATATCGTAATAGAGTTTTCCTAATGCTAAGCATATCTGTAAGAAAATTATAAAGAAAATTATTCTCCTTAACACCTTTGCTTTTTCAGTTGTGGGAGGCACAATATCACCAACACATAATATCATTCTTATTAAAATAATAAATTATGATAAATAAAATAAAAATGAGTATTAATAATTTGGAAGTTATTGCAAAACAGTATTCCAAATAGTTAAATAATAATCTCAGATGTAGTGATTCACATAAGAATCATTTGATAAATAACTTTTCTGGATTTTTTATTACTCTTACAACTTTTGATTCCTCAACTTTTGTTATATAACATTCTGTCTAACACGTTCCGAAATGCAATACTCCAAGGCTACATCATTTCTATGTTTTAATTATTAACAACTTCTCACATTATTTGAACTAGCTGGTCGCTTACTCAATGTTCTCTTAATATTTACTAATCCCTTATCAATCAATTCCCCAATTTTCTTGGGATCTACACTCTTCTGTTCAACGACTTAATTTTTATTTATGTAAGCCTGGCTTTTCTAAATTGCATTATCTATAAGCCAATTGAAGGCGTTCATTGTGAAATTCATCTTCCCTCCAAAAGGTTTATTGAGCAACTCTTGTAGTTCTTTCTTTTTGTTGAGAGCCCAAACTATGGGAGTTCTCTTTCCCTTACTGCTTTCAACCATCATCAATCCCAAAAGTCGATTGGCTGCCTTCATGGTCAAAAACTTACTGGTTCCATCATCTTCCTCATTTAAAGTGGGTTCATTATCTTCATTCTATTAGATGATGAATAACTTTATTACAATTTAGTACATGTTTTTAGGAGGAGGGGAGATAGTGATTTTTGCATGTTATGATCTACTAACGGGAACATTGAGAACCTGAGAGGAGAGCCTATTAAATTCACTGAGTAACTTTTCCTTTTCGAAGGTTTTTAATTTGGGATCATTGCTATAGAATTCATAAAAGGCTTCAAAGGATTTGTTATATGGATCTTAATGAGAGATGCAATTATACTTTCTTCGTGTTGTCTATCCTTAATGAATAATCTGATTTTTCTCTCAACATAATATTGCAGTTTCTTTCCTATTTCAATTTACTTGATTTGATTCAGTTTGCCCTTCAGTTCCAATCTCTCTTGCATTTTCCTCTCGATATTCTTCTATTTTAGTTTCTCGGAGATGTAGATGAATTCTTTGATTGATCTAATTTCGTTGATGTGAGAATAATATCTCAATGGTTATGATTATTGATTATTCATAATCTGATGCATACTCTTATGTTTCTATATGTAGATGTCTTTGGGCATGAAGGCTTCTTGTTCTTGAAGTCGTTTGATGTAAACTTGTTCTAGATTCTTTTATTGTGAAACTTATTGTGGTATTTTTTAAGTTGACTTACTCTATCTAAAAAGTTTAGAATTCATTGTTAAAATTAATATGTTATTAAAGAGCAAATATACATTTTGGGTGTCAACTCAAAGAACACAAACCAAGATTGATAAGGATAATTACAATGACAATCTGTACAAAGTGTGTATGATACTTGAAATGATTTAAATTTAGGCAACTTTGAAACAGCAGAATCGTTCTGGATGTATTATCAATGGATAGCGAAGCCGTCAACCATCCCAGAAGGATGTCAAATACTGTTATTTTAGGAGGAAATCCAACCGATGTGGGAAGACAAGGCCAATCAAAATGGGGGCAGATTTGTGTTCAGATGCAAGAATAATGTTGATCGAGTCTGGGAAAACATCCTCTTGAGTTATATAGGTAATCAATGCACTTGCAATGAATTCATTTGTGGAGTGGTAGTCAATTAAAAAAGGTCATTTACTCAGGTCTCAATCTGGGTGAAGGACATGAGCTAGTATTAGAATTAGGAAGATAAAATCACACAATGGGTAAAAGAAATGTTCGGAATCAATGAATTAGAATTTGTACAGCATCCAAAGAGTTGAAATTAATTATTAATATAAAATGAATTCTTTTCGTAAAAGTTACACCAACAACATCAGTAGACGAGAGTCGTTAGAAACAATGCCCAATGTATTTAATGCAGAATTGTTGAATTTATAATTTGAGAATAAGAAAAAAGAAGTAGACACATGCATATTTTTAGATCATCAATGAATATGTTGTAAAAAGAAAGGCGGAATTGTTGGAGGAAATGAAATAAGAAGAAATTTATTAAGAATATGACAGAAAAACTGAAACCCAAAAGTTAAAGGCATTGTTGGCCAACATCAAATATCAAAATGATCTAATGAAACTAAATCTAACTTAATACAATTAAGTAGAAGTGGAATAGAAGAAATACTCCACCACCCAGGAGAATGACTTGATGGCTCTTAACAATTAAATAGCTGCTGAATAAGAAATAAATCAAACACTATAGCGTAAAATCCAAATTTTGGGTCATTCAGTAAGGGAAAATCAAAAGAGGAACAATACCATCATTGAATAATTGTAATTATACACTCAGAAATAACCACAAATTTAATTAAAGGAGTTCTAAAATTCGCAGGCTTTTAATGCAGCAAAAAAGTAAAATAAAAAGATAAAAAAGGCGTTGTAGGAAGAAAAAGAGTGGTCAATGTAATACTTACATGATAATACTTCAAATTATGAACATAAAAACTAAATTGTCAAGTAATTTATGATTGCAATCTATTAGGGAAAATTTAGAAAGCTTATGTCAATAAGAAGAAAGATTAAAGTATCTATAGGAATAATTGATTATAACTGAATTATAGATTTAGGATATCAACGTAGAGATATCCACTAAGTTTAATAAGATTGAGGAGTGTGCAGAGTTCTTAGATGAATTGGACGATTTCGATAAGATCATTTTAATCTTTGTAATGGAGGATCCAAAAGATTTTGAACTCCCAGAAATATTGGAGAATGCTAGAAATCAATTATAAAAGCCGAGGAATAGAATGCAAATTGCTGATAGTGAGTAGGAATACATTGACAGAGCTAGATTCAGTAGTGTAAGTTCGAGGATGAAGATCTTCTTTAAATTTCACAACAATAATTTATAAAAATCTATTGATGACTTGATTTAAGTATATCGCAAATTATAATTTAATGAAATGACTTAAAAAAATAGGTATGAAGATTTATTAGATTAAAAAGCAAAATTGAAATAAACTTTAGAAGATTTAAATTCCTTGGAATTCTATGCAATGGACGACATTTTGTTTGAAAGGGATGATGAACATATGAATGTTGAAGAATTGAATGTGGAGGCAGCTTTGGTTTGTAAGAATTAATAAATTCGATTGGTTGAGAATAATGCTCAATTTGTATTGAGAATGTACAGCATGCTAACGAATGCCTTATTTAGGATGATTAATTCACTCCTAAACATTAAAGAAGTTTTGAAGACCTGTCCCTCAGAACTATTTGATTAAGAGTATGAATTTACTAATTCTTAGTTTTTATTTAAAATGGACATATAATAAATTATATTCAAAGTTAAATACTATTTATGATCAACTGGAGAACCAATTTAAAATTAAAATAGTTGTCAAAGATCCTGTAATTCGCAACTCCAATCAATTATTGAATGCTATTTATGATCACCTCGAAGATCGTTCACATAAAAGAAAAACCTTGCTTCCCATAGCTCAGAAATAAGGAGTCTAAGAGATTTTAGGTTCTGTATTAAATAAAGAAGAATTGAAATCAATTTCTGACGCTATTATTTAAGACCCAATTTTGGCTTAGTTCTTCTCCATTAATGATTTATAAAATATTGTTTCATAACTTGATAATTACAATTTAGATACTGTGTTGAAAAAGATTAAAACCGAAGGCTATTAAGTAGCCCTAACAACAGCAAGGATATAATTAAAATTCCTTTTAAATTTCATTGAAGAAGCAATCATTGACTGCAAGAACATTTAGGAGTAACAAAATTCTGCTAAACTCCTTTAACAAAAGTATAAATTAAAAGACTTAATGGAAAAGCACATGAACAGTTATGAATTCAAACCAAAAGAATGGAAGAAGGATGTAATTGAGAATAAAATCAAATAATTAAAGCCATTGAATGGATAACCCTTTGAAGAATAGCCATCCCCTCTTACTGAAATGAGAACTTAACAGTAATTAGTCACTTAATCTCCAACACCAAAACCACTTCCTATAAGATTTGCCAAGACAGAGCAATCACCAAATGAAATTAAAAGATTTATCTTCACCATCGATTCTCAAATACCAAATTGCTCGTAATCTTAAGCAAATCAGAAGCAATCAGACCCTATTTTTATTCATTTACATCACATGAATAGGAAGATGAAGAACCTTAATAGATCAACTACTCAGTAAAAACCGAACCCTCCTCATCATTTTGATGTGTTATTTAGTAAAAAGAGTGTAGAGTTATCTCGTGATTCCATAACCAATTTACAACTGATATCCACACCAGTTCAAAAGAATAATGTCATTCTAAGAACAGCCTCTAAATGCCCAAAATTGTTAAACAATACCAATAACAGCACTAATTTAATTTCAACAAGATCTAAGTGTAATACAAAGGTTTCAAATGAGCAGAAATTGGAATTGCCATAATAAACTTGCAAGTAACAATTATCATCAACATATGGAACTGCAAATAAAAAATTATAAGATTTCTTCAATATGACAAGCATTAGAAAAAGATGAAAATGTTTATATCATACTTATTCATATATTAATTAATGATTTACTCTCATCATCTAATTCGTCATCTTCGTTGACATCTATTTAACTAGCCTTCTTTTTGCACATAAAAATAAATATCATCAAAGATGACAACCCCAAAAAGGAAGCATTAGCTAAAAAGAATATTACTGCAAACATAGGGTATCCTAAAGAAATTCTATTATAAATAAATATGAATCTATATACTTATTGTAAAATGTGGATAAATTAGTCATCTGACATATGAATTTAGCCTCCACTTTACTCACAGCTTCAAGTGTGCATAAGGATTGTTATCTTGTTCGAATATCATAATAATGCTGATTGCCAAAAGTCGCATATTAAGGACATAAAGTCATCAATTGATTGCATACTACCAAAATGCTGATGTTTAAAATTGCAGCTACTATAAACAAAGATGATGGTTAAGTTTGTTCTTTTTTAATTTCAAATCCTTTCAAAAATATGATTCCGCATTTGATTATCCCATATAGAGTGCAAATAAAGATATAAAGTGTGAAAATAAAGAAGAACAAATAATCCAGTGGAAAATAATAAGATGAGTAAACATACAATGTGTCGATTGGATTCAAGAACGTTTTTTCTTAGATTAAATATCCACATTTAAATCCACATGATGAATTTGTAATCTATCAAATTTAAACATATTAATACTTTGTCATAAGTAGTAATAGCCAAAGAACTAAATATTAGGACTGAGAAACATAAGCATATCATTCCAATAATTATTCTAAAAGGAGAAATTATTTTAAAAATTGTCTATAAAGATTTCGTTTATGTTTCCAATTCTATGATTTTTTCGTTTTTTAAATTTAGGAACCTCTCTTTTCTTTTTAAATTGGTTAAGGCCTCACAAATAGAATATAAATCTTACCTTCTGATCTCCTTTCGAAATTTTAGAGGAACTCTTTTGATATTTCTCTTGAATTGCCCTATATTTTTCTCTTAATTTGGCTAAGTCATTATCTACCTATGACTTTTCTTCTTCCAAGGACCTGGCTCCTTTAATCAATTGAAATGGCAATGCAGTTAATCCATAAGAACCATAAATAACCCATAGGCAAAAACCGAATGTCAATATGATTGAGATGCAAAATGATATTGCCTATTCCCCTAGATGATCAACATCAAACATGGTCTTAACCCATTCTAGTTTTTCAGAAGTACTGTAATTGACTTCTGGATTGAAAACCAGTCCTGAAATTAACAAGACACAAATAAAGCCGATAAAATATACAGTTTATTTGGCTGATCTAATTATTTTTGATGATAGACGTTTTTCACTTAAATCCAAGTCAAAGTCATTATCATAATTCAATGCTCTCTCTTCGGAATAAAAATAATTAAAAGGTAGGATAACAAAGGTGATAAATAGCAATCCAATATAGAGGTCTAAAAGGATTAATGTCATTCTTACAGATAAATACTTCCCTTATAAAATACTTATTGATCGGTTGATGAAGTGTGGAGATCACATCATTGGGATGAGAAGTCACAAACACATCGATTGGCACCATTAATATGCAAATCATGGAGACAGTGAAACTCAAGCAAATGGAGTTGATTGCGAAGTTATAAGACTCAGCTGGGTCTATGTAGTATTTCACTATTATTCTGGATAAAAAGTAGAGTCCCTAGATATAAATAAGGAGAATACCAAAATCAAAGCAATATAAAGAAACCACGCAAAATACATTTTGTGAATAAAAACAATAATAAATTATCAAATCTAATGTTATTTCAAAAGTAATCACTCCCAGCCTTAAATTCATTCTGTTACTAATCTAACAATGAAGAATGCGAATCATAACTTAGACCTTTGTATTTATTGATTCGAGAAAATCAAATTGACGTGTAATAAGAAAATATTACTTTAGTCGGTTTATTTAAACTCTTAAAAGTATGCTTTAACATTTTCATAGATCTGGAAATTAGATATCCCATTTTCAATTTTAGCTAAGTTAATGTTAAATGCAAATAAATATTGTAACTAGTAATTGAATTAAATGATCAATATACATTCTTTGCATCAATTAATGCATAATCCTCAACTTTAGATGATATACAGAAAGAAACCAAAATCAGAAGTGTTCTAATTAATGGGAAATAATGCGTATTTGTAAAATTGTTAATTCTCAACTCCTCAGACTCTAGTTGGATTATTCTCTAGATTAGGAGAACTGATATAACGAAAGTAGATGTATCTCAAAATCAATAATGAAAACATAGATGCAAAGGATAAGTATAGTTACATTATATAAATGATGTAAAACACCCCTAGAGATCATAAAATTAGTCCCAGAGACAACAACACTGATAAATAGGAGAGTTTACTTTTAGGGAATCAGCTCTTCAGTACTCAATCAAAAGTGGATAGCATTTTATTGCTTGAAGAATAGGAGGATAAGGATGAAAATGATGATCAATTTCCCTAAATTAATAAACCCATTAAACAAAAGTTTCAAAAATTGCAGAATGTTTTAGATTTGAACAATTAATAATTTAAAATGAATCATAGAATGAGAAAAATGCATACAACCATGATGAAACACATGTTTCTCCTTAAATAAAATTCAAATGTCAATAAGATAAATAAATTAATACAGTAAACACAAGGCCCCATTTAAATTAAATTACCTGAAATATGATTATTATTAAGATTATATATATATATACAATTCAATAATGAAAAGAAGAATTAATTTTATTCACACCAATGATAAAAAAAAATTCAAAAAGTACGACGAATACGATTTCTCTAAAAGAAGGATTGGATTCTCAGAAAAAGAAATTAAAAAAATTAGATAAAGGTTATCTTTATTAAAGTAATAGTATCAGATTTCTTAAAATCGCACAGATTGGATATATCAATTATTAATAATTTCGTGAAAGTTTAGGGATCATGGGATTACCTAATGCTGAATTTTTGAGTCTGAGATTATTTCACGTGATCGACATAGAAGATTCCAATAAAGTAATAAAAATTCAAAAATAAGATAACATTTGAAGATTTCTTAAACTATCTAAACATACTTGTCAATGGAAATAAACAATAAAAAGCAGAAATGAGCTTTCGATTTCTAGATATTACTGACACAGGAAGAATTTTATAAAATGATATTGAGTAGTTATGTGCTGATATTTTACTATTTTGGCATTAAATTACAGGGTCAAAAGTATTGCCGAATCTCTCCAAAGTAGAAATGCTAATCAAAGCATTGGGGATGCAATCGACAGGAGAAATAAGTTTCTCAGCCTATTTAGACGCATATGACAATATATCTAATGCAATTGATTGGTTCGAGTTTTTTAATGATACTAAAACTGAAAAGTAATCAATACACACACAAGAAATTGACAATAACAAATTATAATAATCTATAGATAATTTATAAGACGAAGTGTTGTCCTGTATAATTTAGTTAAAAAATTCAAAAAGAGGAGGAGAATCAATAATCTTTGATGCAAACATCAGTTAAATTAATTAATTAGACAATAAAATAGACGGCCCCTTTTATGTTAGCATTTAGACTCCCAAAAGACCTGGCGATGTTGATCCCTCTTAAGAGATAAGCGTATAATATTAAGCAAATTAACCTTAATTCTCTTTGTTTTAAAATGAATCTAGGAATCATAAAATTGCTAGTTTCGGAAAACAGGACAAACTAATTGTTTTAGAACAGAAAAAAATGAAAAAGCCAATGAGTGAAGATTTTAGAAGAGCGACGATTGCAAATATCCCTAAAAAACACAAGGCAATTTATTTTGGACATGAAAATTGGAACTTAGTGATATCCATGATGATAGGGATGAGAGCATGTGCTTAGGCTTTGTGTCCTTTGTCCATTGAATTGAAAGACAAAGATTTTAAGAGCAAATACATATATAATATTTCGAATTCAAATAATTAAAGTATTTGTTACTAGTTTGTTGATTATGCAGGATTGGTTTATGAGAGAATCAGACAAATCTTTAAAATTTCATAGAAACATTATTTAACTTCGATTGGTCCTGAAAATCTATTGGGGAATTTGATGATTGGAAAACTAACTAGTTTGAGTGAGTTAAGTTCGACTGGAAAGAGTGGAAGCTTTTTCTATTTTACTGATAATGGAGATTTTATGATTAAAACAATTTCAAAGAACGAATTTAAATTGCTCTCTAGAATTATCTCATAATATTACCAATATATTCGGGATTATGGTTCAACGTATCTTTCCAAGATATTAGGTTAACATGTTTTGAAGGCATTTAAGGATAAGACACTGATTTCAAAGACCTATATAATAGTTATAGTTAATATATTTTAATCTCCGTTATCTATTGATGTAAGATATGATCTGAAGGGATCCACTTATGGTAGGAAAACCAAAAAGGCCAATAAGATCCCTGATAAGAATGTGGCGTTGAAGGATCTGGACTTTTTAGATGATAAGAAGAAAATATTGTTGGATGCTGGTAATTATTAATATATTATTATAATAATTAGAATTCACGAAATCCTTATTATCTTAATTTAAAAATGATGTACTATTTTTAGAATCTTGTTCGATAATTGATTATAGTCTTTTGATTGGTATACATTCAATACGACACGATAGCAATATCAAAAATCAAGTTGTGTCAAAAGATCAAAAGGAAGTGTATTTTATTGGAATAATAGATATTCTAACAGAATATAAGTATTTAATTTTGTTCATCTAAAAGTATGCAAAAGCAAATTGAATATTCATTGAAACATACATTTGTTGATTCAAACATTTCATGTGTTCCGCCTAGGGAATATGCTATGAGATTCCTTAATTTTATCAAATAGAATGTATTTGTATGAATTTGTGAAATACATTTATATACAATAATAAAATCATAAACTATAGTCATATTTGAGTTCCAGCAACGGCAGCGACACTTTTGTGATTATCTTCATTGTTTTAAGCTTTGACTCTAACATATATGAATAGATATTTACTTTTTATATTGTGCTTCTTTAATATCCAGCATTGAAAGAAATACCTTCTTCTTTTTTGGAAGTTCACCTGATTGTTTATTGTCAGGGTGTTATTTCTAAGGTTTTTTCCTTTCTGTTTTCTTTGAGATTTTGTGTGATCTAATTTTTATATTTAATTCTTTTTGTGGTGGAATCTCATGAGTTTCATCGTGTTTGAATTATTGGGAGTTGGAGATGTCTATTTCTTCTTGTTTTGGGGTGAGGATATTGGGAGGAGGTATTTTTTGGATGAATGAGGCCCTAATGGATGACAATTTTGAATACTTGAGCATCTGATTATAAATTAACATCTGATGGAGGATCAATTGTTGTTGAAGAATCAGGTTTTGATCAATGGTATGGAAGCAATTCATTGAAATATAAGGAATTATTTAAAGAAAAAAAGATTTGGTGATTTGGTTTAGTAGCAATTAATCATACGTCACAGATTATTTGAGGTGATCTTTACAAATGATCTTGCATTATTATAATGAATCAAATTTTATAATAATTATATTAATATCATTATATATTATTATAATTAATATCATAATTAGAAATAAATTTAACTATGACAATAATTATTATTAATATATAATAATTATTTTAAATATTTTCTTATTATAATCAAATTTTGGCTTTGGTGAATGAAATTTAAATGTTTCTCCCGTCCACTTCTTCATTATGCATAAGTGCCATGACTTCCAAAGCCTGCTTCAGAGTTTCCATTTTGATTAAACACATAAATTTAAACTATGAGTTTAGAACCTTGACTGCCTACAGATTATTTCATAAAATACTTCGACAACGCCGAATTCAGAAAATATATCCCACATGGTTTCTGCATTGGAGGACACTTTTTTCAGATTAGAGATATGAAGAACTTGACTGGGAGGCAGCAAAATCATCTTATTATTTGGATTGAATCTACGATGAATTTACAGAGCATGTACCTGTCAGTATCTTGGGATCCAACATAATAGTCTTAGTCTCTATATAAAGTATCCAGACCGACTAACTTTTCAATTGAATCATCTGCAGCGAATGTGATTGTTAAAGAACTTTCGAAAAATTATAAATTCTGACAATTCTAATATACGAAATACGCCTGATCTTCTTTTAAGTACTTTACTAAAGCAAAATTTTTAAGACTACATCTATGAGTAATACATATTACTTTATTAGTATAATTTTGTCTACATTACCGAAATTGCTAAAAATATTGTATAACTTATGCGCATCCAATTCTTTTCCAGAAATTCCATTTAAGCACACTGTCTTCGTTGATTGAATGTTTTTTTGAGAAGGTATGAGTTTTTAACTTATTGGCAATACAGTTGAGCTGTGTGGTTTAGAGTCTCCATCCTATACAACTAATTTTATATTATTATATATAATACTATCATTAATTGATGTGGAATGCCTATTTTTAAACGTACTTGAAGTTGTATCATCAATAGTTTCATATGAGCCAATCGTAAATGAGCCATGTGGCATTAGTTTGTCATCTTAATAGTAAGAACATTTGATGAAATTCGATGAAAGTTGATCTAATGCTTTTTTGGCATTCTTTGCTGCCTCGATATTAGCCATCTCGACCAAGACTCGACATTCCATTAATGAGCGATGCAAAATTTTTACATTGGCAACAGGTCCATACCTTAAAACATTACGGAATAAACTTACTGACTCATCAGAGAGCTAAAATATTCTGGATTCAAATTTGCTGGTGGTGCTGTTAATGTAAGTAATAATAAGTGCGAAAAATGGAGAGAATCAGGTAAATTCGGCAAAGAATAGCTAAACATTTATACTTATTTATTTAATAATTTTCATTCTCACTATTTATATTTAATATTTATATCTTTAAACTAAATCTGAATTATATCAGCAAACACACACATATACTATTTTATTTAAATCAAATTACGAAAAAAGTTTGCGCCAAAATTTTATACATCCCTCCTCCAAAAGTTGAAAAAATTATATAGATCCAATCTCCAGGGTGATAAAATATTTCCAATATATAATATAATCTCAATTTTATTCTCAAGGCTACCTTAATAACATTTCTAAGGGTTCTAATGAAGAACACCGATGCTCCAAATCATAAGAATTAATTGGCCTAACAACTAACCTATTCGTATCCTTTAAACTTTGATCTTCCGATTATTTCTCACTTAATTTGGCCCCTAAGTTGTGACACAATAAGAATGCTTAATTTCCGAATTGTTATTATAAAATAAACTACAATCTTGAAATTTCATACAGGATATTGTTAAGCCGGCATTTTTCTTTGGCTCCTCGCAATAACGCCTAATATTTTTTCTTTATATTTTATAAATCACTTTTTAGTTTCCCATCCTCTTCCATCTAAATTTCAAATTAATTGAACACATTCAATGATACCTCTTTGAACTCAGGATAATACATAGTAATAATATCGTGAAGCAGTTCGTTTTCTTATAATTTATTGTTATAATATATGACTACATATTTAAAAATAAATATTAGCTGAACTATCGAACCTATCTAAGCCAGAATTTAACCTAATTTTGGCATGGTGACTTCTTCAACAATTGAAATGTTATCGATCCTAAACAAGTAAGAATTAAATATGTCCAAATCATATTTTCCGTTAGACATAAATGATACAACTCTAGGCATAAACGAAGTATCTACTTCCTAATTAATTAGTTCGTAATTATTTAAAAAATAGTAATGTTAGTAATTTTTAAACAGTACACCATCATCAATAATTGTCTCCTATTACTTCAACATGATCTAAGAGTAAATTGGTCTTTGAGGATTAAATGCTAAGTAATATTGCTTAGCGAACAACTCTAATTCTCTGGTTACATAGTTTAATTGATTGAGTCTTATTGTCAAAAACATGAACCCATGCTATTCTGCTAAGTAATCATTGATTGTCTTTTCATCTGCACAAGTTTTACCTGCTATTTCATAGTCATTCGAACAAGTTGCGAAAACCAGCAGATATTATTTCATCACTTTGTGATTTTCATCCTCTTCATAGGCATTATTCAGAATCAACGAACCATTGCTTAAGAAAATAGTCATAGGTATAGTATCCATACTAAAAAAAGGGACTGGATCCTCTATAATAGTACTTCCGAGAATAGTGAAAAGCAAAGGAGTAATGATATTGTTTTCTCTCCTAAAAGGATCGGTGTAGCTGGTGAAATCTTCCAAAGTTAATTGAATTAGAGTCTCCTTCCATTCAAATTCAGCATATCCAGTAGTTTATTACTTCGAACTCACATTAGGAGTGATTTCATTATCAATCCATTAGGCTATTATATATAAGAAATATGCAAGGCTTATGCTACCTAGAAATATAGAAATAATCCCTCCCATGATACTTTGAAACTTTGACTCGTTTTTATGAGTGAGAAGGCTTATTGGAACACCAAATATATCAATTTTTTCAATAGAACTTAGAAATTTGTGCATATTAAGTAATTAAATTTTTCTAAATATACTCAAATTGTCGACTATTTCAATCTGGAGTTAAAATTTATACAATTTCACATTCTAAGACTTGATTTACAAATTAAAATTAAACCACATTAATCATTTATAGCAACTAACTTATTTTTCTCTATTTTGAAATGGGTGCTTCAAAATGTATGATTTTGTCTTTATAACAAATAGGTTAGAATTCACCATATGACACTCCTGTTCCAGGTAAGCAATCACCTAAACTAATAAATGAGTTTTAATTAGAATCATAACAAAAAACAGTTTTAATAATTTCATCATCAAAATAGAATTCTTTTTCATCATCAATGAATTTTCTGCTCCATTGTTTTCCTCCAAATAACAGAGCTTAAAATTCATTTATTTAAATCGAAGCATATCCGCCTCCAAATAAAAATGGATTTAAGGAAGTTGATGATAAAGTAATCAGACTCCACTTCTCTTCAACTATATCATACTTTTCAAAGTTAATAAATTCGTGTTATTGAAATCCAAAAGCATAAATAAAATGATTAATCCGAAAGATGGTTTGATTGGGCTTCGGATAATTCATAGACTCCACATTATACCATTTGTTTTCCTAAGTGCAATACTTTGAACACGTTCTACTCCACTATAGTTTGTCATCCACAACTTAAAGACCTCCGATAACATAAATGTATTTATCAAATACTATTAATCCATTTGTTGGATTCTTGGCTTTCGGCAACGGTGCTAGATTTGTTAATTCCCCATCTTTGCATTTCAACATGGACCTTACTGGACTTCCCTTCGAATCAGCTCCACCAACAATGTACGCAGTTCCATCATTCATAAACACAGTTTTCAAAAACTGAGGAATTTATTGATGTCTAAGATCTTAAAATTCTCCTATTTAGTACTCCTGTGTTTCTGGGTCATACAAATACATAACCTTAGCGAATGCTGGGATTAAAGGTAGACTTGAATATTCAACTCCTCTTATTTTGTATAGCTCTTCTTTGGCATCTTCATACCAATCAATAAGCTAGACCATTTAGGATAATTATAAATGCTATTTAGTGATGCAATTCAAATCTATAAGTAATCTGGGAGGGTATATAATGGAAACCTCATCTTTCGTCAATAGTTATTCTCTTTTTTCGTATTAGTTTAACAAGGTTTTGGATTGTTATATTACTTTATCTTTGAAGAGTGACTCTACCAATGATAACTGATCTGATAGCTCATTCTATAAAAATAATAAAATCTTTAATTAGAAAGAATTCAATCTATCCAGGAAGGTTTTGTTTGATCCCCATAATTCAATAAAGTTATTCCACATGTAAATATACTAATTGTAAATTTTATCAAAAAAATTTGAAATTTATTATTCAACTTATCTTCTTAAAGAGATTATTTTTTATAAGTTTTCTTCAAATAACTAACAATTTATCTAATTCTTCAGATTGTTGTTCTTTTTATTAATGGTTTAATTTATAATTTTAATTTTATCATCTAAAATTTTAACTTCATCTGTTAGTAAACTGAATGCTTCACGAAAATTAGTTATGTTATGTGATTAATTTTGCTTAGAATGAGTTATTCCACAATTTATGCACAATAAAATATAGCAATCGACGCAACAAACTGGAACTGATACATCACCACATTGTTGGCATTTCGAAAATTGAGCTTTTAAATTAGTTTATCCTGAACTGATATTTCTTTTTGGAGTAGATTTATTATGTATAGTAGGTAGGTTTAGATCGTTTCCGAACTTTGGCTTTCTGTTTGATATGTGCATAGCAAATGAAATCAATCAATTGATATTTAATTTACTAATCAATTAAATATTATTATGGCTTATTATTTTGAGAATTCTAATTAAAATTGATTGTAAATTCAAATCTATATGGTTAACCTTATGTAGATTTTATCTTTAGAATCTTAAAGAAACTTAAATCTCCTAAAATAACAAAAGGAAATAAACACATTAATAAAAATTTGAAATTATATTCAATTTATCAGGTATGATATAAGTGACTTTGTATGATGTGGATTTAGGGTGTTAGTTTCATAAACTCTACTTTGCAATATAATCCAATTCCTAAACGGTTGAAACTCATTTAGTTTCCTAATTACCAATATCAACTTTGATTGAAGGCAGAGAATTCAAAATAATCCTCAAAGATGGTAGCATTACAATTGGAAGCATTAGTTTTCCTCCTAAATAATTAAACAAATAATTAAATCTAGTGAGATGGTATATTTACAAGATTAAATAGGATTACTTTATTCGATCCTAAGGATGATCAATATGATGGAAATTTTATTGAAGATGACATCGAATAGCCACGAATATTGCTTCGAATCGAAACAAACTATTAATATCAATAAAAGATGTTTAAAAACAATCTATTATCTTCCTGCCAATTGAATTAGAAGGAAAACACTCAGCAACACATAGATAAAAAAAAAGTATAGCAAATCCTTGACGATCACAAGGATATGCAAAATAAATATAATTCGTTAAAAGAAGATTTATTAGCTTATAGAGACATTTCCCAATAGGAAGTAAAACAGTTAGAATAGGAGAAACAGTCATATCTATAAGAAAATAAGGCATTAAAATAATAAATACAAATTTTGAAATAAAATGAATTACCTATTCATGATTAACAATAAAAGAATGGCACAAACAATAACAATAATAAGATGAAATGAAATGAAATTATTATTTGTTTTATGATTTTATTAATCTCTCATGCTATGTTTTTTAATGTTTCTAATTTATGAACACTGAATCTTGGGTCGATGATTTAATGGAAATAATTTGGACCGTAAATTTCAAGATATTGTTTTGCTAATCTTCTTCTTCTTGGCCATTGAATTAGAGTCTTTATATTTAGATTGATATTTTTACTTCACATAAGAGGTTTGGGTATTAAAGGCATACTTATTGAGTAGCTAAAAATACTGCCCAAAGTCCAATTGATTTAGCATTGATACTCCATGTCTTATATAAATACACTCCATAAATTGCATTCATGGCTGAGCAAGCGAATTGAAGGGTATATGACACTATGCCAGAAGGTAATGGAGACAATATACGATTTCTAATAAATATTTTAAGATTAATACTCCTATGGGGTGAAGAAATTGGGATTCAAAAGCTGTAATTTTTGAAGGGCAAACACGGTTCTATTGATAATCTGGGACTCAGCTATTTAAATGATATGAGATATTTACAATAATTTTCTATTGATTTATGTTCGTAATTATCTGTGTTGATAGTTGGAACATTATGATAAATCAATGATGCAAATGGTCTCAATATATATGGTAATCTCTATTAGTAGAAGGGTTATAATCTCTTAATTTCTTCGGCTTTGATTTCATGTGATAAAGCTGAATCGTGATCTTCATGATGATCTCCTCCCATTTTATATTATTTATTTTATTAATATTTACATATTAAATATTATGTTTTATATAATAAAACAACCAATCAATGTTTCAAATTCATTCTTTTTTCTCTAAACTTCTTTTAAATTAATAAAGCAGCTGCATTCAATTCATGATCTTCCTCCTCCTTTATTTCTTCATCCTGCTATTACTTTTTATCTGTAGCATAAACCTCAATTACTTATTATCTCTGATCCTCAGACTCTATCTTAATTGTGAACTTCTCCATGCCATCGTATTGATTTTTACCATTATTGTTTTAGGGCAAAGAAGAAGACTTTTGAATAAATTTATCCTGTGGAGCCTCTTCCATTATAGGTGTTGGCTCAAAATCTTAGGAATACTCTTATGATGTAGCAAGTTTCTCTTCCTATTCCTCAAAAACTGGTTACACATCCTCATCTATTTATTTGATCTATTCAGCCAACAAGGGATGAATTTCATCAGAAACTACCGAATTTGATTTATGATTGAATATAGGTTATATTTCTTAGTCCTTGGAAGTTTGACCATTCTCCTCAAAAGAATCAACTAAAAAGACCAACGATTCATATTCGTTTTTCACTTGAATTAATAGGTTCTAATTCTGTTCAGGAATGTAAATGTAAAATTAGTTTGCCTAATTATAAGGGAGTTAAAAGCATTGCTTATCTAAATTTATCTTTGCATATCTGAAATACTCAACACTGAAACTTAATAATACGTTTTTCATTCCTAAAGGGTTTTGGTTAATAGTATTAAATTGATTGTTTACATCGCTAACATTAAGACTATTGCCGATTAATTTAATCTTTTTAGGTCCCAAATTTACAGCAAATTAATCTGCAATCTCACTTGCTAAATATTGGAAATATAGAATATTTTATTAAGAAAATAGGTAAATACTCATGGTACCTTAATAAATCTCTTGAATTCCTGATTAACTCTATAAAATATTGAAATTTTTACCTCGATGCTTGGCAAATGAATATTTTGGTATGATTATAATAATTATACATTTCCATTCTTTAATAAATTGGATTCATTGATATTTTATTCAAGATATTGAATAAATTTGGATGGGATCTAATGCATATTGGTACTTTATTGACTCAAAAATTAATTTGTTTTATTCTTATAGAGTACTTCAGATTGAAATGTCTATTATGATTGCCCATAGGTCTACTTACTACTATAAATCTTAGCTGAATTCAATTAAGATGTGGATGATGAAAACTATTATGGTTGCTGTTGTTGTTGTTAACCTTATAATTTTTTAGCTAAAAACATATCTGATTTATATGAGGGTAAGGATTTATTCTATACTTTATAGTCTGGTTTGTTGCTAACCTTCATGATTTTAATACCATTATTCACAAACGGTTATTTTAAAGGAGATTAAGGTCTTGGTATTTAACTGTTTAATAACATTTAATTGGGCTTGAATTTTAGAACTTAACTAGATTATCCTGGCATTTTATTCAAATAGGGCTTGAACTTTAAGATGGCTCTTTCCTCGTTTTGTTTCTGTCTTTCAACAGATTTTATGATTTTTTGTTTCTTTTTGAAGAAATTACTATTTAACTTTCCATTACTTTGATCATTGGCATTCTTGACCAAATCTACGAAGGGTTATTGAAGTAATGCTGATTACTATGGTTTTTTTTGATTGAATCCTGTGACTGAGTTGATTTGTTTTAAAGACTTTTATTGTTAAAACTGAAGCTTCTATAGATATGCTGCCTATCTCGATAAAAATTAATCATAAATCTATTGTATCTTCATTTGTTTGCTTTCATTCAGGTTTTATTATGAGTATACTAAACTACTGTAATAGTTGTAATGCGCCTCTTAAAATTGCTTCTCTTGTTCCTTTGCAATTCCAAGATTTATATAAGTATCGCAGATTGATTCGTGTAGTTCTTCGGTTATTTTATTGGTTGAAATGGCAGCTTATTGCAAGTGTTACAGTGCTGCCTAAGCCTCTTGAATAGCCTAGGCATAATGATTGGTATAGAGCGAGTTAGAAGACAATAACATATAGGTTTGACCTACCAATTCATCTATGGAGGAATCAAATTTGTATTGGGACAACATTTATAACGAAAGTTATAAATAATGGGTACTCTCATCGTATTTATTTTGTTTTCTTAAAAAATCCCCATAGGCATTCAATACTCTAACTTATATATAGGGAGGACATCTTATATGGATAATGTCTTCATTTGATTGTTGAATCTAATTAAAATATTTTTTACTTGACACCAAATCAATAATCGGTTCAAAATTTATTGTGATATCAGGTTATCTTCTGATTTCACAATTACTTTAACTAGTTGTAATACAACATCTTCAACCAATTTAACTAATCTAATAGACGATAATTGATGTTCCCCTTTTTTGAATGCTTATTCAAATAACTATAGACTATCATGAATATTCATTAATTATAAGGAATAATTTGCCTTGCTTAATAATTAATCAACTGAATTCTAAAATCTAAGCGTCGTATCGCTGACACCACTTAAAGGCCTTATTGGTTTACTAGCTGTTGAATTGGCGTCATCAACTCTGGTAATTGCAGATTGCGGTCGTTTCATTAATTTTATATAAATATTAAGTCATTATTTATAAATTATATCAACTCATTTTATAAAAAATAGGGATTCTTGATACCTAATCAAATTTCATAATAAATGCCCAAATAACTAAAATCAAATACTCAATTAATATATTTGACAAAACAAGATATTACATGTAATTGTTTTAATCATTTTTTAATATTAAAATTTAATTATGAAATAAAGAAAAAAAGAAAAAGTAGCATATCACATTTGCTTTGATAGTGAAAAATAAAATTCTCAAGAATTAATAACTAAAGGTAAGCAGTTAATCAACCAAATCCCAAACATTAAAATAGTGAATTCAATTTTGCAGAAATATTTCGGCTATATAATCTAACCAAAACCTTTTTAAAAATTGAAGAACCCTAAAATGAAACATAAAACCGACTTACATTCCAATCTTTAATACCTTGAAAAACTGAAAGCTACTCATTTTGATAGAGAATTAATTCAAGAGATTAAAAACTCAGAAGCAAACTTTTCACCTTCATCAATTCAATACAGGAATTGTCTAACATTGACCTCTGAATTTAGAGGCCAAAACGTTCTTGAATATGTATTTGAAGAAAAATTAAGTATATAGCATTCATTAATAAATAGGAAGATTAGAGTGGAAATGCTGTGCTGGCACTAGCAAATTTCAAGTTTAAGAGTTTACTGAAAAAGATTTATATTTGAATGACCACACTGGTGTTTAGCAATTAATTAAATAAAATGATAGGTTCTATTTGAAGCATCTATATTCTGTAGAAGTAGTAAAGAATGAAAAGTCAACTTCAGTATTATTTATTATTTATTTATAGAAATATTCAAGTGCTGATTAAATCAATCAAATTTTATATGAATAAACTTTTGATAGATTATACATTTTGACAAATAAATAATTAAAAACAGAAGACACAATCTTGTAATAGTTCTCAAGCTAATAGGCTGAGCCTTTCAGGGTTTAATCAATTGCTTTGCATAAGAACCCATTTTTATTATTCTTGTAAAGTTAAAAAGAGCTCTAGCTTTTTGATCAAAGGAAATAAAATACTAATGTGCTTGTTCCAATAGATGTACACAATTTACTCACAAATAGAATATATGCTGTCCATTAATTTTAGTAAAGTCAATATATAGTCTTGTCCACTAATACTGATCTTCAATTTTATGATTTAAGAAATTTAAAAAATCCATTCAGCACACAATAACATGGGTGTATGGAAACTGGCATATCTTAATTTGTGAGTATCAGTGATCAAACTATAAATTTTGATGATCTTTTCGATCAAGATGATTTCTAATTAAACAGGAATAAAACTTATTCTAATGCAGAAAGTGTAATTGGTTATTCAACTATTGGAAATTCAATTTTTATTAATTTTGATTGTGGATTAGTCAATCAAGTTAAAACTAATCTCCCAAGTCTAAGAATGTGTACAAATTTATTAATTGATAATTCCCTTCAATATGGTACAAGTGATTTGACATAAAATGGATTTCCTATGCTTATTGGAAATAGTTAGATATTTTCCAAAAGATTAAAAAATAGAGGGTTTTAGTACATCTATCTTGATAAGAAATATTTCATCTTTTCTTTAGATAAGCAAGGAGGCTTGGGATTATAAATTCTGGATTCATATTTCGATCCAATATGCATTAATTAACAGTCTAAGGATATTAATGAAATTTTAATGGTAGAAAGTTCAGAAAAGCAAGATGTAAACAGATGTTCAAATGATTACGATTCAATTTTTGATGAATTTCAGGATATTTAAGATTCAGATTTAGAATTGGTAGAAATTTAAGAACTACTACCAAAAGTTAAAAAAGTGAAGTTGAGTAACTTTGCTGTTGAAGAATTCAATTTTTCCGAAGAGAATGAAGATGAAGGCGTTCAATTCGAGGATGAAATTCTGCTTGAAAAGGTAGAGAAGGAGAATTAAAGTGAAAGCATAGCATAGTTGAAATAAAATCAAAATTTCGTTTTGACTTAAGACATAATTAATTATATGCTTAAATAGATATGATAATATATGAAAAACTGATTATCAATACTATTATATAAAATAAAATTGTAAAATTTTTAATGAAACGAACTTTTGAATTCTTCCGAAAAATTGATTCATTTGGAGTTGAGTTTAACCCTGCTATTAACAACAAATTGAATTTTAGTTATAAAACTATATTAGGAGGAATTTTATCTTTGATCATTTATTCACTTAGTGCAGCCTATTTTTTATATGAAATGTATAGATGGATGAATATGGATATGGTTCCTATTGTTACAACAGAGATCCATAGTTTTAATGATGACATTGAAAATCTTTTAGATGAATCTAACGCGTCGATTGAGTTCGAAATCTATAATACAGCCAATGGAAAAGAATTGATTAATCCATTTAATTAGACTCAACTAGTCTTGACTCCAATTTTGAAGAATTATTCTAATGGAAAAGAGTAGGCAGTCGGATATAATTTTTCTCAATATGTGTCTGAAAACGTATTTTCTCCAAAATTAAGACTAAATTCAAAAAGCGAATATTAAATTTCTTTTGCAAGATGCACAAAAGAGATGTTAGTTGAAGGTTAAGTATGTGCTAGCGAAGATATTATGAATGACTTTTTTAATTAGAGTGGAAATGAATTATAAGTAAACGTAATTTTGAGGATAGTTGATCCAAGAACATTTATGGAAAGATAAATTAAAAAAACATATGGAATAATTTTAGAAGAAATAGAATGCTAAATCACTAAAATAAGCATGGAATACACGCATTATTAGATTTACAAAGATTTCATATTTCCCACACCACTAAATAAAATATTTGTAAGTGAAACCGTTGAATAGACAACATATGGGACGAAGGACTATTGTTCTAAAAGATTTGTTGAAGAAAGTTATGCTTTATTATGGATTACAACATCGTAAGTTGCTTATGTATAGAGAATGTAATATCCTGAAATTGGAGACATATTAGCAAATATTGGGTCTATTGTGGAAGTTCTATTTTTAATCGAATATGTTATATATAAAATTAATGAAGATTGCTTAATTCGTTGTATGTAAGATTAGATTTTATCGTTTTATTATCCAGAATTAAGGTCGATTAAATTAAAAAAAAACTGGTTTGGTTTAATTACTAAATGTTCGTTATACTCTTAAGATATAAATCCAAAAAGTTACAGCGAATTCAAAAACAAAACTATCAAATTAATTAATTGTAAATTCAATTATTTGAATATGATTTATGAAGTTTCCAGACTTCAATTTCTCTTATAATCCATATTAAGAAAAGAAGAAATGTACTAATCACATTTGATTGGCATTAAATTATCATTAGAAAAGGATTCGCAAAATAATTAAATATATAACTTGAAAAATGATGATAATGAAGAAGGATTATTAGATTCATCTAAAATTATAAATGATAGAAAATTGACCTATAAAGACTCTTTAATACTTTGTATTCTAAATAGAAATCTCAATTTGGAAGAAGATTTTATAGATTAAGAATTAATTTCGGACAGAAACTTTTTTGAAATAAATAGAATTAATAAAACAAAGATTTGAAATAAAAATGGAGTTCTTATAATAAATATTAGATAATTCTACTTTTTATATTTATAATTCAATATTTCATCAAATTTTATATTCTAGATCTAAGACACTATTTTTCTTTGTTTGCAAGAACCAAAGAATTTAGTGTAAAATGAGTACTCATTCTAGGGGAATATTATTGGCGACTTGTGAAGCAATTTTATAGATGTGGATTAGGACTTAAAGGAAGGGAACCTTTATCTTTGTCTTTAGATTACTGTCTTGATAATCTTGGACTGATAAGGGCAAGCGTGTTCAATGAAGGGTTTTTAATTTCAATTTAAGACAATCTCTTCATACTTTTAACTTTATTATTATTATTTAAGAGCATAGGTTTTGCCAACTTAAACATCTAAAACCAATAATGATATAAAGCTTGATTGGCATTCAATCTTTTTTATGGATTAACTTATAGTATTCTCCTAAGGAAGTCCTTTCCTATATCAGTCAAGTTTTTTATGTTTGATAAATCGATATTTCCAAAATAGTTTTATTACACCTTTTAGTGATAGTCTCCTGTAAAAGGCTCTTTGCCGGTCAATAATATGAACATTATTATGCCAATACTAAAAATGTCTACCTTATAGTCATATGATTAATCCTATAACAATTCTGGAGCCACATAGCCAGGTGTTCCACATCTTGTGAACAGGTAGTTACCTTCCTTATTATAAAAGTCAGCTAATCCAAAATCTCCAAGACATAAAGATTCTATCACTCCTTTTTCCTTAAATAATATATTTTCAGGCTTTAGATCTCTATGCATAATGCCTTTTTGGTGTAAGTAATGGATAACCTTTAATAATTTATAAATAATAATTGCTATTTGTTCTTCTGTAAACATCCCGTCTTATTTCTCTTCAATAAATTATAAAAAATCTCCTCCTTTAAAATATTCCATCACCAGATACACGGCATCACTTGTTTCAAACGTTTCATGTAACTTTATAATAGATTAATGTTGTAATTAGCGAAGAATTGAGATCTCTTTCACTAATTACTGTTTATCAATTTCAACAATCTCCTCCTTTTTCATTATATATTTCACAGCATATTCATGACCGTCGTATTTATTCCTGGCTAAGAAAACCTAAAATTGTATCACAATTTACTTATGAAAAGCTACCACTTCCAATTTACTTCTCTAAAACATAGAAAAAGTCGAAATCTGATTAGATAGCAAATCTTCTCATTGAATTAAACCAGATTTCTACATCACCAAAAAAGTCAAACTTATCATTACCTTTTTATAATGATAAACCATATCCATGTTGGTCATCATTGACGATTGCTAATTTAGCATTTTCGTAATTTACCCATTTAGTTTTCCCCTATTATAAATCATAGTGGTACTTTTTTAGATTTGATTATCAGATAGTTGTTGATCAAATGAAATTATCTTTGTTTTACAACTCCATTTCTAACAACATTGAATTCATCTGTTAACTAATATTGCTAATTAATGATGGGAAACTTTGAGAACATCCATTCAAATTTAGAATTTTAGTTTGAAAAGAAAGAACAAGTATTCATAATTGTGAAAAACACAAAATTATTTTGATAAATTATAAAATGATAATTCTTAGTGTATAACTGGATATTTTATGGATTTATTGCTATCATTTTGTATAATTAAACTGCCAATTTCAATTACAACACAAGATCCTTTATCACGTTAATAAAATATTTTGATTTTTAAATATAATTAAGAATATTAAAATTTATTCTTTGAAAAATAATAATTGGATCTAATGCAAAACAGTAAACTATTTACTCCCCAAATCATTTGTCACTCTAGTTGTATCTTATATTTACACTAAATCCAAGGGAACTCTCTAATATTAATAAATATTAATCATACTCTAGATATTGTTTTAACGAGAATTTGTTTTTATTGATATTTATGATGAATAATTTGATTCATAAAGGTGATTTCTTATCTTAAATTTTACTAATCCCTTAACAATTTATAGTTCAGTAAGTTGTCTAAAATACATATGTCAGGTTCTAAACTCTCCAAGATCAAGGAATAGATTACTCAGTTAAGTATCTAAATATCTGTTTAATATGATATTTTATGTACAACCAAGAAGTTTAATAATAATGTTTAAGATTTATTATTTTATATTATTTCAAGAATGAAGGCAATCAATTATGACTAAACTATTCTGACAGTCTCATGTTACAGAAAACATATGATCATTGATACAAAATATTATGCTCAAGTACTCCCTAATCAGTTAATTCTATCTAGTGTATATTGGCATATTTAATATTATTAGTCCCCTCGATAATCTAACCCCAAATATATTTTGGAATTTAGCGTAGAGAAACAAATTCATTGGGTAACAAAAAATAAAACCTCAATTTTGGAATAGTTTGGATTTTCTTATTAGGGAAAAATAAAATATTTTTATGGCCAATCTATGGAATTATACAAATTAAAGGATTGTATATAGGGATAAATAATGTATAAAGATATAAGTGATTTTTATAAGCCTTAAAGTTTATTGGGAAAAGGAGGCTCTGCAAAGGTATGTATTTTATCTAATTGAAGGTTTACATGGTAACTAAAAAGGGCAGCAACGATAAATATGCCTCGAAGTGTGTAGATAAGAGATATTTACAAGAAGATGGTGGATATGTAAGATACTTTTTAGTATATTAGGATGCTTTGTTTAATGAAATAAAAATCATGTAGAAACTAAAACATGAGAATATCATTTAATTGGTTGATTTGTATGAAGGAGAATCCACCTTTTATTTGATTCTAGAATACTTAGCTGGGGAAAGTCTACATGAGATGTTTAATAGAAGACAAACAACTTTGGAACAAAATTAGATTTAGATTATCATGAAAGTAAAACTGATATATATAAAAGTTATTGCTGTAAGCTGTATCCCATATGCATTTAAATGGAGTCATGCACAGAGATTTAAAACCAGAAAACATTATGTTTAAATAACTTAATTAGTTTGATTCATTAAAAATTGTAGATTTTGGTCTAGCAACATTTTCTAATGCTGAAGAATATCCTTTTCCAAAATGTGGTACTCCTGGATATGTAGCTCCTGAAGTAGCCAATTTAAGAGACCTTAAATAGAAGTATGAAATGATATGCGATGAATTCAGTGTTGGATGCATTTTTTATAAATTGTAAATAGTATCATTATTATATTCAGATGTACTAATAAGGACCTGTTTCCAGGTAAAGAATATAAAGAAATATTGAAATAAAACAAAAAGTGTCACATAAATTTAGACTCACTTGCTATATATAAGACTCCTCCTGAGGCTTGTGATTTAATCTAAAAATTATTAACTTTAAATCCTAAAGAGAGAATAACTGCTCAAGAGGCTCTTAGTCACCCTTATTTTTCGTAAAAATACGAGACAAAAAAACAAAAATTTTAGACATCTAATTTAAATAAATAAAATCCAGTTTTTTAAACTCAGAATTTCCAACCTGTCTCAAAATTAACAAATATTGATGATGATGAGGTTGAAGATGAAAATTGCCTTAAATTATAAGTTCCAGTTATGAATGATTTAAAATCTTTCGGTCTTATTGCTAATTCTAATTAAGAAAAAAATAAATCTCAGCTCGTTTAAAATGGTAGAAGAAATTTCAAGAAATGTTAGACGCAAGAATTTGAGCAGCATTAGAATGGTCTTAAACATTAAATTAATAATTTTAAACCTTCCTTCATAATGAAAAATGACATTAATGAATAATAATAATAATCCAAGTAACATTAACATAAACACAATACTTTAATTAATAATTTTCCAAAAATAGGAGAACAGGAAGGAATGAGTAAGATTGATGAAGACATTGAAGAAAATGGTTATTAAATATGAAAATTTATATTCCTAATTTATTATTCATATTAATTATTGATGCAATAACTATTTTTTACCCAGCCATTGAATGTTGCTTCAAAAAAAACAATATTCAATGAAGAAAGATAGATAATAGAGATTGAAGCTAAAGAAGAACAAGATGATAAAAATGATGAACAAACTTTGCTCTTAAGCTAAAAAAAATATCAAGTCAAAAAGCAATTAAGACAACTACTTAATAATAAATAAAACATGTATCAGATTTCTCTTACCCATTAGTTACTTGAAAGAAAACCTAGCCAGTCTTAAAAAGCGTAAAATATTAGAAGGTTTCTCAGGAGAAACTCCAGCTCCAGTTTAATAATGCTTTTCCTTTTTCAGCTAAGCTTTGTAAAATGCTCGGAGTCTTAGGTATTATTAACTACTATTGACATAGATCCTTAGATATCTCCGGAATGGACATTCACCCTCTATTAGCAATTGAAATCGGGTAGGGTTTATAACATAATGCCTCATTAAGGGAGATCAATATTTCAGGATGCAAAATGAATAGTTTTTGCTTGCAATACATATTTTCTTCCATAACTAATCATAAAACACTTTAATCCATAAATTTATATAACAATCAAGGGTTTACTATAGATCTAATGAATGACATTAGCTAGTTTGTTTTTAAAGGGAAAAATCATCTTAAAAAACTCAAACTAACTCATTGCAACATATCAAATACAGCCATGAGTTATTTGTTAAGAAATTTAAAGTAACTATTCATATTTTTCATAGATATTCTGAAACTATTAATGCTTTAGATATCTCAATGATGTAGTTTAATACAGAAGTTTTAACGAGTTTAGGGATTGCATTATAACATTATAAGGGCGATAAAGTTCTAGAATATTTAAATGTCTCCGATACTAATATAAAAAATGAGGGATTAGACACTTTGGCATAGAGAGTAAGCTGGAATATGAGGAAAATAAATTTAAAAGAACTGGTTTTAAGAAGAAATTTTATCAATTAAGTAGGTATTGCATCCTTAGAGGCTTTTTTAAGAAAGATATCACAGCTATAGAAGTTAGATCTCTCAAATAATAAAATAGAAGAATTTACTTGCTAAGACTTACTTCAAAGAAAAATGTATGAAATTAATCTAAGTAATAATGTCATAATGTGCTTTCCACCTTAGTTTTTTATGAATACTCTTGTAGTAAATCTATCTAATAATAATATATCCAGCTAAGGAGCCTTTCAATTGTCAAGCATTCTTAGGTAGAATCCGTTATGGGTTGAACTGAATTTATCAAACAACTAATTGAAAAGTGAAGGATTTAATTCATTAATCTTTGGTTTGAGGGATAATAGAATGCTTAAAAAACTAATAGTTGCCAAAAATTAACTGGATGGGGAAGCCATCATTTGCTACATGATAAATCATGAATAAGTATATTTTGAACATTTGGACATTTCATTTAATTAAATAAGACATGCCATTATATTTGTGCTCCTGAAATTTATAAAGAGTGGATGTTTGAGATGTTTACGATGTTCCTATTTAGAAAAAGAGGAGGAGATTCGCAAGGTAGATTAAAATGTAGATTAAAATGCAAAATTTATTAAATAAGATGAGCATTAATAAAAATCGAACAATGCAGCATTTTAATTGACTTCATTTAATTTAAGGGAATTAGATTTCCATGGAAATAAGGAGATTTTTACTCCTGTGGTTGCTTCTCTATCAACTTATTATAATAAAATAGAGAAACTGGATTTATCTTCTTGTGCCCCTATCACAGACTAAGACATAGAATTGCTGTGCTTGTTCTTAAGAAAGTCAACTATAATTCATGATCTTAATTTGAGAGACCTAAATTTAGGAACCATGAAAAAGGATTGTATCAAAAAATTAAGCGAGGCCTTATTTAATAGTAGTATCAAATACTTGAATTTAAGTAAAAATAGAATGTATAAATAAATTAAAAGACTCTTTAACTCAAACAATTTAGGATCAAATTACAAATTGGAAGTTCTAGATTTAAGTTATAATTATTTGGAAGCTAAACATGCTCCTAATATAGAAAAAATGTTAATGTCTCTTAAAAATTTATAGGAGGTGAATTTCTCTAGAAATTGCATAAATTTCGAAGGGTTGGCTGCTATAAATAGATCTTTATTTGCCAATCGAACTCTAAAGAGATTGAAGTATTTTTATACATTTATTTAGTTTGTCTTATCAGAAATTGAGTGCAGATGATTTATTAATTCTAAGTTAAACACTAGGAAATGAAAGCCTTTAGGAATTAAACTTAGCCAATAACCCATACACGACAAAATTAAAAACTTTCTTTTATTAATGTTCAACTCAGAAACAAGAATTTTTACATTTATCATAAGTTTATTTTGATAATGCAAATTATCATAGTCTAATGACAATAATTGAAAATCAAAAGAGGAATCTGTTCGGTGTTAATTTGGATTCTTGTATATTTTAAAATAAAGACTATTGTAAATTTTTTGAACATCTTTCAAAAAGCAGAAAGCTTACTTACTTTGCAATTAATTACAATCCCACAATATATAAGGATTTAGAGGGTACTGTGGGTTTAATATCGAAATTGAAAAATTTAAGGATTTTAAAATTAAATTAGGTTTCTTTAGCTGACGGCTTTGTAAATGCTCTTCAAGATTGGTTTTCCAAAATTGGATGCTGCAATGTAAATTATATAGTCATAATTTAAGTTAAGCACTTTAGATTTGAGTTAAAATAAATTATAATAATAATGGCTGAATAGTTTATGTTTAGGTATAAGTACTAATTCTTCGTTGAGAAATTTTATGCTAAATGATTGTAATTTAGGATTCTTGAATCTTACACCTTTAGGTATAGCAGTTTCATAAAATAAAACTTTGGAAGTTTTGGAAATCGCAAAGAATTAGATTAAGAATAATCTGGATAATTTCTTAACATCGGCTTTGGAGAACGCTTAAACTTGTAGATTAGAGGAATTAAATTTAGCAGAAAACCCGTTAGATAAGCAATCAATTTTAGATTTGTTTATTCCAAGAATATTAAATAACATGAATGGCAAAAATATTAAATTAAGATACTTAAATTTAGCCAACTGCCATTTACAAATCGATTTATTCAAAGATATTTTGCAAGGTCAATAACTATATAAAGATAATTATTCCTTTTAGCATATACTTAGTTTAAGTTTAAGCAATAATTAATTAGGTGATAACGTAGGATAACAATTAAAATAGATCATTCAAAGCTCAACGAAAATGAAGGAATTATATTTACAGAATAATCTATTTACAAGCAATGGAATGATTTTAATTTTTGAAGGAATGTTTGCTAACCAAACCATTAGAACTATCAATATTAGCAGTAATAAATTGGATGATATTTGGGTTCTCAAATTATATGAATAAATCTAAAATAAAGAATTAAGTAACTTGGAGTTTATTATGCTCAGAGATAACAATTTCACAAGAATAGGTTTAAAAAAATTGGCTTAGATAATATTTAAAATAAGAAATCTATTCATTGATAATATATGGTCAGAATTGGATGATAGCGATGCTGATATCATTTTACAACAATATACTAGGATAGGATAAACTTATAAATTAGAATAATCTGCTATTCCCTAATTTTTAAAGGAAATTTAAATATAAAGATCCAATTTGACTGATAAGTTTTGTGAGGTTTTAGGAAAATATTATCCAATGTTAGGCTTTATTGAATTTATTGATATTTCTGATAACCCTTTCATTACAATGTATGGCAAGGTTTATTTATTTTTTCATTTATTTGATACAAGTTATGAAAGACATTAGTTAAAAGCAATGTACATAACAGATTCTCAAGAAACAAGAAAATTATTTGATGATGGCTTGCTAAGATATCTAACTCTCAGATTTCGAAATTTTTTATATCCTCCTACTGAAATCAATGTTATAAAGAAGCAAAACAGCAAAGCTGAGGTATTTGGAGTTCCAAATAATTAACTTGACTCACAAATGGGTGTCCAGTAGATTATAGGAGGAATGTGCGGATCTTGGTTAATCCATAAAATCAATAAGTTGATGGCTTATTTAGATTAGATAGAGCCTCCCTAGTTCATAGTTAGTACACTCTTTATTGGGAAATTCCGAAGAAATAATATTAATATCAAAATAATTGTAATGTTTTTTTGGATTACTTTCCTTGCTATAAACTTGTTATAATTTTTATAGATTCTAAGTAGTCAATAAAAACCATTAGATACTATATTGATAGATTATAATTAAGCATGTCCTGATGATGTGAAACACCAGACAGAAGAGTGTAAGAAGTTTGGTTACTCAAACTTTATTAGCGATGTATATTATTTCATCATTGTATTTGCATCAACTATTGCGATTGAAATATCATAAATTATTGTTACTGTTACATTAAGAAGGAAAATTTAGCCTGCATTTTAAATAGTGCATCCATCATTATTAAAATATCTTCACTCTTAATTTCCACATCAAAAAGAACTATTTTTGATGTTATTTTCAATTCTCAGTAAAATAGGAACCTTCCCTGAAAGAATATTTTTATCATATTTATTAGTGCTCACAGATGATGGTTTAGATTATGAGCCAGTTTATTTTAAATTGCAAGTTTATAAATTTATTCTTGGGATTATAATTCTATTGAGATATGGGGAAACACTTTTAATTTCGATAATTAACTTAATCAAATTCATGATGGCTACACCAAGAAAAGACTAGGCTTTCTACCTATCCTTATTATAACGAAATTTCCATTACTAAAGCTACTATGTGTTAAGTGATATATTAGTTTCATTATGCCCAGTCTAAGGGTATTAACTTACTAAAGCTATCAAAATTAATTATGAAATAATAGTCGAAACATATAGAATTTTAACTATAGAATTGTTTTTAATAATTTTTATTAGTTTCTTCTCAAGAGAGTTTAATAATATCAAGTAATAAAAATTTGACAATACTGATCCATATTGGTTTTTAAGTGGATGGATAATCCTGACTTTGATTAAAGCTGTTGTAACAATAATTAGTTCATTATTCACTATTTTGACTGTCAGACCAGCAGTTGTTAAGCAACATGGTTTTAATCAAGCCTTAGCCATTAAGAAATTTTATGAAAACAAAAGTGAATTTGTTAGACCTTCTAACATTAAGATTGAGTATCATTTACAATGTTTTGTGGAAAGAGAAAAGGAGAAGCAAGCAGAAAAAATAGGAACACAATATGTTCTCGATAACAGTGCTAGTTTATAAAATAATTCTTAGAACTTAGAGAATGAAATCAAATTTGAAATGCAAAAAAGCAAAATGGATGAAATTTAAGAAGACGTAAAATTAGAAGCTATAGACGAAGAGGATTCTCTAAATGATGACCCTAATAAAGTTGAAAAAGATTCAGGTAATAATAATAACTAATTAGAAGAGTTTTCATATTCTTAAATAGATTATTAAGAGCCTCCACATTATCCTTTAAGACAAGATAGGCCCAAGTTTAAATATGTAATTTGATTTTATTAATAATAATATAAATATATTAATTTATTACCATGTCGACTCCTTAAGTAAATTTCTATTCATATAAAGATGGATCATCTTATGTCACTTCTTAATGATAGCAACAGAGACTGTAAGGCGTTAACAGAATATTTTTTGGATTTTTAAATTATAAAAGACTTTTAAGAAACTCAAGGAGCTTCATTTTTCAACCGTCTCATTTAGAATATTGCTTATAAAGTATTTGCACCTCAAGAATATGTTATCGAAGCTGGAAAATCAGTAAATTCATTGTACATCTTCTTTTCAGGAATGATTATTCGCAATAGTTCGAAAAAAGATAAAAACCAAATTGAAATCATTGAAAAATAAATATTAGGAGAAGAATTCTTTTTATCACGATAATAATCCAAATACAATTACATAACACATAAAGAAAGTTTAATCTGTTATATTCACTAAGACGACTTTTATAAATTTGCCAAAAAGAGAAAACTGAAGAAATCATTGATTAATAATATCTTGTCATTTTCACAATTTCAAGATATGTCACCTAAGTACATAAGATAAATTAAATTTTAGTTTTATTGAGTAAATTATTCAGCGCAGTAATACTTTAAATTATCTTAACAAATAAATCGTTTTCGATATAGGAGATGAACCATAATCTTGGTTTATCATTTTAGAGGGAGATTTTTAAGTATATTACAAGTATAAAGAATAATATAAACCATTACTAATACTATCGAGAGGAAATTATTTTGGAGAACTGGAGATTGTTAAAAAATAAAGGAGGGCTTAAAGAATATCTTGCATTTCAACCCACTCAGAAATATTGGAAATACCAAAGGTGTAATTTTTTTTTCTGCTCTAAAAAAATTAATCATTTAATTCAATGATAAATGAAAACATCAATAACAGAGTGTAAAAGTACTCTTCAATGATTATTCAAAATAAATAAAATCTCGAATTCTAATTTAGTTCATCTCCTTCTAAACCAAAATTTGCCTTTCATTCTCCTCATGTTCGAATAAGATCTAAGAATTTAATTGATAATGAAGATATTAAAGAGTTATACTAATAAAGAAAAAAAGAACTAACAAATTTATTGAACTATAGAATATAATTAATAGAAAATGAAAGCAGCCAATCCGTAGCTGAAAAATTAAATCAAAGAAATCCAAGATTAAGATAATTTTTAGATAGGTTAAATTAGGGAAGATTAAAAGCTAACATAAAATAAAAAGAATAAAGTGTATTTTAATTAGATTTGTAAAAGTCCCATCGTAAAATTAAAACAGAAATTGCTCTCTCTTCCAGAGATACTCTAGGAGCTGTTAAAAGTACACTATATTCGCCTACGACATCTTCAAGAGCATAAACCAATTATTACACTCAGAGTCCTAAGATTTATAACCTATTCTTTAAGCTATAAGCCAATACAAAAAACATTTGTATTTTAAATCCAGAGAATTTAGAGACCGAAATCTGAATCAATTATTTTAGATCTATATAAATATTTTCTTTCATTGTACATCTTTTTATACAATGTTCCAAATTTAAATAAAACAATATATGGTTAACAAATGTGGTAACTTTAATTTATAAAATAGAAAACATTCTTTCATTCAAAGAGCCATTTGATTTTCGTATAAACTGTTATTAATTAAATGTTATAATTATTTCTAGTCATCTAAAGATTCTTGAAACTAAATAAAATTTGTTGTTTTAATCTAATTCAGTGTTACCTTATTATAAAGGTTCAAAAATAAATTTTTGTATTATCAGGTGCTTTAATTTCTTTAGAATTTATTGATTTGATAACAATAATTTTAGAATTATATGATCAAACCTTAAATATGATAAATTATTAAAATTTATTTAAAGATAAATATCAAAATTTTTTTAATTCTTATTTAATTTCCGAGATACAATCCAAATTGAACTCCTTTGCTAATTGATATGCTCTTTTTAAATGAAACAAAGATTCTCTGAATTTTGAACAGGAATAATACACTTAACTTATTTTTCGTTCAATGTCGCACTTTAATCTATCATCCATCTCAATTGAACATTATTTATAGAGATCAACACTCCTTGTATAATCCTTTTTTAATCCATAACAACCTGCTAAGTTAAAACTAATTAAAACATGTTGATCATTTGTACTCCAATTTAATGCTTCATTATATAATTCAATGGCTTCATCAATGTATTCGTGCTTTTATAAAATAATTCCAATTTCATTCAACAATACTGAATTTTAAGTTGTAATTAATTTTGCCAAAATATCAGAGCAATTTTGTTTCATAGTGATTTTAATATATGCGTTATTAAACAGCAATCTATCCAAAAATTCTTTCTTTATAACATTTAGTGATTAGGAAGCTAAATTAAAGCATCTTTCAAGTGTTTCTAAAGATTATTCATATTTTTTTGATTAATATAGGCATTAAGAAAACTTCTACAAACAAAAAATAAATTATTTATTAGCTTATCCTTCTAATTGTGAAATTATTTATAAGCAAAGTTCAAAATCCTTTTCTGCTTCTTACCATTATTAGAATTATAGTCTCATACATGCTAAGTTACATAGGGCTTTGATTGTGTTTTAATCATTCATCCCATTTACTTAAACTAAAATGGAATATCCTTATTCCTAATGCTGTAAAGAGGTTTTATTTGGGTACTCAATTTTTGCAAGAGTAAACAGAGTTTTTGCTAACACTTTATGGTTTTTTTAGCTTTTATTATTAATATACTTATAAGCAAGTCCTGGAAAAGCCCTTTAATCCACATCATTTCCAATTTCGATTAATTATTCTAAAGCTTCTTAATTTCCAGCCTTATATGACCCCAAAAAGCTAAAATATGCTTCCACTGGTTTTCCCAATAGCATGTAAATTTTACCAAGTCTTAATTACTCATTTTAATCATAATTTGATCTATTAATTAATTGGAGCTAATATTAAAGGGCTAGTTCTAAATTATTAATCAACAAAGAGGCATTGATTAGCATATCTAATGTATGATCAACATAATCTCGATCATAATTGATGATTTAGTTTGCAATTTAAAACATCTCACGATACATTTACAATCCAAAGTATATTTAGGTGAAGAGGTACTGCAAATATTATTTATTTTCTTATGACAATTAGTCTTATTTTGCCTCTTGAAATATAACTAATTATTAATATGCTTATTGATAGTTGTGCTATTTAATCAATTCTTTAATTTCCCCCAAGTTAGAATCTATTTATCCAAAAGTCAAAAATTATGGTTGTTATTGAAATTTTGATTATTAACTTTCCTCTTCATCTGATGAGTGTTCTTCAGATGAATATGTATATCTATATGAACATTAAGGTTTAACATAATTATAAGATGAGTTATTTACTAATTTGACGGAACTTTCTTGGTTGATCATTTAATTAGTCTCAAACTCTTCTTCAAGATTCTTCAATTATGAAGGCTGCAATGAATCATTTAAGCTATCATCAAGGCTTTTTTCAGTTAACATTATAATATTTGAATTTAATATATTTTGGTTATTATTGTTTTTTTTAATTCATATTAAAAACATAGGAACATAAGTTCGTCTCAATTTGGATAATTTTTTATAAATAATTTGTTTATAATGTCATTGATCTTGTAAAACCAAAAAAAAAAAAATGAAGAGAAAAAAGAATTGATTACTAAATCAATTAGAAAGCAAAAACGAAAAAATCAGTACACGGTTGAATTCCCATTCGGAAGCAAAATCGACTTATCTATTCTAAAATCGATATCAAAGATTTCGCAAATTTTACCACCTTCAATTCCATCTAACATAGTCTTTCGACTGGATTCTAATATTTAAATGCCTTAATCATTTAATTAAGATCATCAACTTGGATGTTTATCAATTGATCCTCATTCATTTAATTATAAGGTTATGAGGTATGATAAGTGTTAAAATTTCCACATCTTTCATTTTGAACCCATTGAAAGGTCATACACCCCTGCGTCTGTTATCAAAGATTTATTTGATCAATAAAACACTCGGCTTGGGTAAGCTTTTGATAACTTGCATTAAACTAAATTAAATACAGAAAATTTTAAGGTGGTATCAGAATAAGTAATAGATGAGTTTGAAAAAAACATCTCCTCTGCATATTCACTTTACATTTCAAAATACAAAAATGGAACTATCACTACAGAAACAAGGGCTATTAATGATCAATATTTAAAAATGATAGGAATAAATGAAACAATGATTTATGATTATATTACTTCAACGGGTTGCTTACCATGGCCATATCAATAAACTTAAGATTATCAATGGGATTAGAATTTGCTGGTATTATTTTCCTGCAACCAAAAATAAATACCTATATAGGGACAAGCCGTCAACTATAATGGAAACTTGTTTCCGGTATTTTTGAATCAATAAAATTATTATTTGTATAATGAATAGGACCAATCTTATACTTAATTCTAATATTACATTTACGAATATAATGAAAGATGGTCAAATGAAAATCAAATTCGTCAAAATTATTTGAACTATTTTAACAAAAGACTCGATATCATGGAAAAAATGGATCAAAATATTATTAAGAGATGTAAATATAAAAATGTATGAGACATTATTTTTAATATTTCACTAAATTATAAACAATAACTAATATTAAACAAATTTCAATATCCTTTTAACAACAGTTCTGTTTTATCACTGTATGAATTAGAATTAGTTTTCTCAACCTCAAAATATATCATTAATTACTTATATAAAAAATATTCGCATTTATTTAATGTTTAATTATTGAGTAATTAATTATTTAAATCATTTTAAAGCTGCTCGTAAAATCTAATTAATCCGAATATCCAAATGATTAGAATGGATATTTATATTGAGTTTATAAGTAAAGTTAACTTAACTTCAACCTAATACAATAAATTTATTATAAGCAAAGGAAAATATATGATCAAACATCTTTATACTTATTCTAAATTACAAAAATTTAAATTGTAAATCACCAGTTAACAATAAGGTTAAAATTTCTAATTTTCAATATATTAAGACGGGTAAGATGAAGGAAGTCGTTTTCATAATATTATTTCTAGGGATTTTTCCATAAATAATATTCTCATCAAATTATTTCGGCAACTAATTATGAATAAATTCAAATTATTTTTTTATTAAAAAGTGGTGTTATATGAATTCAATTTTGTTTGAACACCAGTTAGTAAATGATAAATAAGATTTTTCAAATTAATAAAGTTTTTTTTATTGGGGAAAAAATACATTCTTTAATCTCTTGTTTAATGGAGACAAAGCATTATGCATGTAAAATATTTAATTTGTTCTAATTCTCTATAGAAAATTAAGATTTCAATTTGATTTTTACAAGTTTTACAATAATTGTTATGACATAATTTTTGTAAAATCACATATTCATTTTGAAACCCGATTTCTAGTGCCGAATTACTCTAGACTTTGTCACAAAAGTTAAACCTATAGATCCTTTTCAAACATATAAAGAAACAGTTACATAAATATCTTCAAATTCAAACAAATCATCTCTATATTGTATTGAGCACATAAACACGAAATGTTAATAGAATCATCAAATCAATATGAAATTTTATCCTAAACTCATATATTCTATTTTTTATATAGTATGTTATTAGTATTTCTTGTAGCCTTTTTATTTTTCTAATAGCAATATAATATAGCTAATTTTTGAAGAATTCAAAAAGATGAATTAAAATGATTGAAATAGTTATCTACCTAATGATTGCCGCTGGAATAGAGGCTCACCGTATTAAGACTAGATTTTTTAATTAATGAAAAACAATATAGAATTAAATGAAATCAATAACATTTTAACAATAATAAAGACTCTCATTTGATGGCGAACAATTCTCATTACTAAGAGGAGGTGGGTGTTAATGCTTCATTGATCCATGATATATTCAATAGAGGCAAAAAATATTCAAAATAGCGAAATGCCATTAGGTTTCATAAATTAGTAGACCTAGTTTTCAAATCTCATAAATGACAAAGCTGTTTACATAAAATAAGATAATTCAATATATAAAATTATGACTTCAATATAATGGTTTATGCATAATTAAGAATATTTATATCTTATGTGTTAAAATGAAAAATTAGCATTTAAGCATTTAGATGTTTTAACACTTTCTTTAGATAAAATTTGAAATAAGTACCTACCTATTTAAGAGCATCTGGAAATTTAGGTTTGTATATGCTATGTAATGTATTTTTGAGAGTGTTTTATTCTTTATCTATGAAGAAAAAGGCATTTTAATTAAAGGAAGAATATGTAGAAAACTTGGAAAAATGCGGTGAAGAAATTCAATCAAACTTGGAATCAGATTTGATAGAAGTGTGGACGACAGGATTCAATTTAAATTATTAATGATTAAGATTGCTATTGACAGGTTACCTGATGATAGTTAGCAAGGTTAAGAGATTTTGAATTCAATTGCATATGAAATATTGATGTCCCTTGTTTCATTTTTACCAAGCGCAGGGTTAATTGCCAACATAATAAACGGTTGGAATTTTTTGTTCAACAGATCCAAAATAAATTTTCCAAGCCGATTGAAAAATAAAATCTTTAAAATGGTGTGTGATTGCTTAATTGAAGAGATAATATTCTGTTTTAAAATTGAAAGATAATTGATGGATGGATACTGATTTATTAATTTATCGACCTTTATTACAAAGAGATATAATATTTTAGAATTTATTTTTTCTTGAAATAGGGATAATTGGAAAAAACTTATTGAAATACAATAGATAAGATATTTGAGTTATGAAACAAATAGCAAAATTGATATTTTTTTAAAAAGGAGCAAAGAAATATAATTCACTTAAAATGTTAATGTTGACGTTTACAGGTACAATAAATAGCTGAATCATTTACATGTTTAAAAAAGAAATAAAATGCAAATGACCAATCATTTCTTTCATCCAAAATGTATTTATTAATTCACCCCATCTCAAATTAGTTAAGAAACCTACAGATCTTCATTTGGAATTAGTGTTATTAATTAAGGATACATTTCATTAGATTGTTTCGTCCAGCCTTCAATATACAATACTTATACTATTTCACAACCATTAAAATATGAATGATCCAGTCCATAATAAATTATACTCAAGTTGTATCATATTTTAATTAATTCATAATTTGTAAAGATTCAAAAAATCAGAGTTTAAATTTATGGCTATTGGTATTGACATTCTAATTTTGAAATCTTATATCTCGTGATTAGGTATTTTGATAATTTGTTTGTATTTTATTCTAGATTA